ACAGACAGAGGACACAGACGGGACAGAGCCACACAGACAGACAGACAGACAGAGGACACAGACGGGGCAGAGCCACACAGACAGACAGACAGAGGACACAGACGGGACAGAGCCACACAGACAGACAGAGGACACAGACGGGACAGAGCCACACAGACAGACAGACAGACAGAGGACACAGACGGGACAGAGCCACACAGACAGACAGAGGACACAGACGGGACAGAGCCACACAGACAGACAGACAGACAGAGGACACAGACGGGACAGAGCCACACAGACAGACAGACAGAGGACACAGACGGGACAGAGCCACACAGACAGAGAGACAGACAGAGGACACAGACGGGACAGAGCCACACAGACAGACAGACAGAGGGCACAGACAGGGCAGAGCCACACAGACAGACAGACAGACAGAGGACACAGACGGGACAGAGCCAGAGAGACAGACAGACAGACAGACAGAGGACACAGACGGGGCAGAGCCACATAGACAGACAGAGGACACAGACGGGACAGAGCCACACAGACAGACAGACAGACAGAGGACACAGACGGGGCAAAGCCACACAGACAGACAGACAGAGGACACAGACGGGACAGAGCCACACAGACAGACAGACAGAGGACACAGACGGGACAGAGCCACACAGACAGACAGACAGACAGAGGACACAGACGGGACAGAGCCACACAGACAGACAGACAGAGGACACAGACGGGACAGAGCCACACAGACAGACAGACAGAGGGCACAGACGGGACAGAGCCACACAGACAGACAGACAGACAGAGGCCACAGACGGGACAGAGCCACACAGACAGACAGACAGAGGGCACAGACAGGGCAGAGCCACACAGACAGACAGACAGATAGAGGACACAGAGCCACACAGACAGACAGACAGACAGAGGACACAGACGGGGCAGAGCCACACAGACAGACAGAGGACACAGACGGGACAGAGCCACACAGACAGACAGACAGACAGAGGACACAGACGGGGCAGAGCCACAAACAGACAGACAGAGGACACAGACGGGACAGAGCCACACAGACAGACAGACAGAGGACACAGACGGGACAGAGCCACACAGACAGACAGACAGACAGAGGACACAGACGGGACAGAGCCACACAGACAGACAGACAGAGGACACAGACGGGACAGAGCCACACAGACAGACAGACAGACAGAGGGCACAGACGGGACAGAGCCACACAGACAGACAGACAGACAGAGGACACAGACGGGGCAGAGCCACACAGACAGACAGACAGAGGACACAGACGGGACAGAGCCACACAGACAGACAGACAGACAGAGGACACAGACGGGGCAGAGCCACACAGACAGACAGACAGAGGACACAGACGGGACAGAGCCACACAGACAGACAGACAGAGGACACAGACGGGACAGAGCCACACAGACAGACAGACAGAGGACACAGACGGGACAGAGCCACACAGACAGACAGACAGAGGACACAGACGGGACAGAGCCACACAGACAGACACACAGACAGACAGAGGGCACAGACGGGACAGAGCCACACAGACAGACAGACAGACAGAGGACACAGACGGGACAGAGCCACACAGACAGACAGACAGAGGGCACAGACAGGGCAGAGCCACACAGACAGACAGACAGACAGAGGACACATACGGGACAGAGCCACACAGACAGACAGACAGACAGACAGAGGACACAGACGGGGCAGAGCCACACAGACAGACAGAGGACACAGACGGGACAGAGCCACACAGACAGACAGACAGACAGAGGACACAGACGGGGCAGAGCCACACACAGACAGACAGAGGACACAGACGGGACAGAGTCACACAGACAGACAGACAGAGGACACAGACGGGACAGAGCCACACAGACAGACAGACAGACAGAGGACATAGACGGGACAGAGCCACACAGACAGACAGAGGACACAGACGGGACAGAGCCACACAGACAGACAGACAGAGGACACAGACGGGGCAGAGCCACACAGACAGACAGACAGAGGGCACAGACGGGGCAGAGCCACACAGACAGACAGACAGAGGACACAGACGGGACAGAGCCACACAGACAGACAGACAGAGGACACAGACGGGACAGAGCCACACAGACAGACAGACAGACAGAGGACACAGACGGGACAGAGCCACACAGACAGACAGACAGACAGAGGGCACAGACGGGACAGAGCCACACAGACAGACAGACAGACAGAGGACACAGACGGGACAGAGCCACACAGACAGACAGACAGACAGAGGACACAGACGGGACAGAGCCACACAGACAGACAGAGGACACAGACGGGACAGAGCCACACAGACAGACAGACAGACAGAGGACACAGACGGGACAGAGCCACACAGACAGACAGACAGAGGACACAGACGGGACAGAGCCACACAGACAGAGAGACAGACAGAGGACACAGACGGGACAGAGCCACACAGACAGACAGACAGAGGGCACAGACAGGGCAGAGCCACACAGACAGACAGACAGACAGAGGACACAGACGGGACAGAGCCAGAGAGACAGACAGACAGACAGACAGAGGACACAGACGGGGCAGAGCCACATAGACAGACAGAGGACACAGACGGGACAGAGCCACACAGACAGACAGACAGACAGAGGACACAGACGGGGCAAAGCCACACAGACAGACAGACAGAGGACACAGACGGGACAGAGCCACACAGACAGACAGACAGAGGACACAGACGGGACAGAGCCACACAGACAGACAGACAGACAGAGGACACAGACGGGACAGAGCCACACAGACAGACAGACAGAGGACACAGACGGGACAGAGCCACACAGACAGACAGACAGAGGGCACAGACGGGACAGAGCCACACAGACAGACAGACAGACAGAGGCCACAGACGGGACAGAGCCACACAGACAGACAGACAGAGGGCACAGACAGGGCAGAGCCACACAGACAGACAGACAGACAGAGGACACAGAGCCACACAGACAGACAGACAGACAGAGGACACAGACGGGGCAGAGCCACACAGACAGACAGAGGACACAGACGGGACAGAGCCACACAGACAGACAGACAGACAGAGGACACAGACGGGGCAGAGCCACAAACAGACAGACAGAGGACACAGACGGGACAGAGCCACACAGACAGACAGACAGAGGACACAGACGGGACAGAGCCACACAGATAGACAGACAGACAGAGGACACAGACGGGACAGAGCCACACAGACAGACAGACAGAGGACACAGACGGGACAGAGCCACACAGACAGACAGACAGACAGAGGGCACAGACGGGACAGAGCCACACAGACAGACAGACAGACAGAGGACACAGACGGGGCAGAGCCACACAGACAGACAGACAGAGGACACAGACGGGACAGAGCCACACAGACAGACAGACAGAGGACACAGACGGGACAGAGCCACACAGACAGACAGACAGAGGACACAGACGGGACAGAGCCACACAGACAGACAGACAGACAGAGGACACAGACGGGACAGAGCCACACAGACAGACACAGAGGGCACAGACAGGGCAGAGCCACACAGACAGACAGACAGACAGAGGACACAGACGGGACAGAGCCGCACAGACAGACAGATAGACAGACAGAGGACACAGACGGGGCAGAGCCACACAGACAGACAGACAGAGGGCACAGACGGGACAGAGCCACACAGACAGACAGACAGACAGAGGACACAGACGGGGCAGAGCCACACAGACAGACAGACAGAGGACACAGACGGGACAGAGCCACACAGACAGACAGACAGACAGAGGACACAGACGGGACAGAGCCACACAGACAGACAGACAGACAGAGGACACAGACGGGACAGAGCCACACAGACAGACAGACAGAGGACACAGACGGGACAGAGCCACACAGACAGACACACAGACAGACAGAGGGCACAGACGGGACAGAGCCACACAGACAGACAGACAGACAGAGGACACAGACGGGACAGAGCCACACAGACAGACAGACAGAGGGCACAGACAGGGCAGAGCCACACAGACAGACAGACAGACAGTGGACACATACGGGACAGAGCCACACAGACAGACAGACAGACAGACAGAGGACACAGACGGGGCAGAGCCACACAGACAGACAGACAGAGGACACAGACGGGACAGAGCCACACAGACAGACAGACAGACAGAGGACACAGACGGGGCAGAGCCACACACAGACAGACAGAGGACACAGACGGGACAGAGCCACACAGACAGACAGACAGGACACAGACGGGACAGAGCCACACAGACAGACAGACAGACAGAGGACATAGACGGGACAGAGCCACACAGACAGACAGAGGACACAGACGGGACAGAGCCACACAGACAGACAGACAGAGGACACAGACGGGGCAGAGCCACACAGACAGACAGACAGAGGGCACAGACGGGGCAGAGCCACACAGACAGACAGACAGACAGAGGACACAGACGGGGCAGAGCCACACAGACAGACAGAGGACACAGACGGGGCAGAGCCACACAGACAGACAGACAGAGGACACAGACGGGGCAGAGCCACACAGACAGAGGGCACAGCTTCGGTGCAGGCACACCGATGGCAGTTCTGGGACCACCCATTATGGAGAGCTTGCCCACCCATCATGGATGCCAACAGGGTGTCTTGGTACCACTCTTCCTCTCTGACAAACCGCTTTGTCCACACCAAGATTTCAGGACATTTTTCTCGGGAGTTAGCTGCCACTGCGTCTCTGGCCAATGCCATTTTCAGGAGCGCACTGTATGTTTTCGGGTGGAGCGCTCGCTGTCTGGCGCGCTTTGGGCGTGCATCTGGGCGTACTTCCTCTCCTGACCTTGCTTGTGTGTCACCTGGTGAGAAAACTGGAGCTTTGTCCTTGCAAGGCATGAAATAAATAAAGGATGGAGGGCGAGGAGAGGAGAAAAGAAGGCAGACAGGCATTCTCCACTTGAAATGTGGCCCTTTTATTTGAACTGAAAGGTGTCGTTACAAAGTGCAAACAGGTCTTTGGTACTTACTGAATACAATGAACATAACACCAGCATTGGGCCAATGGCCACAGTTAGAAAGTAAATATATACACGGCCTTCACCTCTCACAGCCCACGGTGCTGCGGAGTGCACCCCGGAGCCGCCCGCCGTCTGGGGTCATGAAGACAGAAGATCCGACTGGTCATTCTGCAGACGTTTTGGCTTGAGTTACAGAATTTCATATGAATCAGTCAGCCTACCTCCACTGGTCTAAAGCCTGAGCTCCGCCCCCACCCGCCTGCCCCAGGACACAACAGGAGGCGGGCTGCGCCCACGGCAAGCCCCGCGCCCACGGCAAGCCCCGCGCCCGCTCCCACACCTGAGCAGTTACATCACTACCACGTCTTAGACAAACTCACAGGCCCCTCACAGAATCCCCACCAAGAAACCTGGCTTTCTATTGCAGAAACACAAAACAGCCTCCGTCTGTCCTTACAAGAGAAGGGCAACACTAGAGGACCACCCTTGCAAGGCAACGCGTGCGTCTGTGGTGAAGGTGCCGGAGCAGGCCGCGGCCGCTGTCCACAGCGCCTCCTTCCACCTCCCCTCGGGCACGGGTGGTGCACACGCCACGCACGCCGGTGTGCTCGTGGGCATGACCCCCTGGCACTTCCGCCACCAGGTGTGCCGACCCCTGGGCAGGGCCGTGCGGCCTGCCCCACCCCACAAGGGCACCGAGCAGAGATCGACTTCAGGGATGGTCCTCCCATCAGAGGCCACTCCGTGCGGAGAATACAATGGAAAGTTCTGGCCAGTTAAAAAGAGACCATGAGGTATGATGTTGCTCATCGCTGAATTAAACTTCTTTTTGCATAGAATTTTGATTTTGTACCACATCTAACACCTAAAAAGTGGGCGATTTTATAAACATCGTGCACTGAAAAGCACCCGTGAGGTATAGGACTTTGGATTTTTTGTTTTTTTAAACAACGTAACTCAGACTTCCCCACATTCAAGTCTGGCCCACCTACCCGTCACCCATCAGAAGGATCTGGAAAAGGGGTCTAGTCCTTCTGGGGACCATCCTGCCTGCCAATGCCTGTGGTCTCTGTGAGGTCTTTGGATGCCATGTGGACCAGAGAGTACCGTCCACAGCAAGGCCGTGTGCACACGCAGCGACGGGAACTAAGCCCTTCTCCAAACACAGTTCCAACAGCCGCTGTCACAGGCCTGGCGGCAGGGTCAAGAGTAGATGCCGGCAAGCTGAGAGGTTACAGCCGCTGTCACAGGCCTGCGGCGGGGTCACAGGTCAATGAGAGGCTAGGGCCCCAGTGGAAGGCAGGGCAGGCAGGATGCGGCGGGCCTCAGGGGTCCTGCAGAGATGATGGCTTAATGTGCGCTTAAGACTGTCCCTTTGCCAGGCAAGGGCTCCCTCGATGTCAGCCAGATCTCAGGCCTCGCCTGTTGGAAGCTCTAGGTCTCAGAACCAGGCAGAGAGGACGTCAGAGGTATGCTGCCTTACTTAGCAAAAAACAGCGTTTTTAGGCAGAATCAATTTAGGAACCCAAATGACCGAACTGTGCAATTTTACAATAGCACCAATTTTTCATTCTAAAAGAATTAAATAAAATCCTGAGAAGTCTAACATGCAGTGAAGACGGACATCTGCACCCCTGCCTGTCTGCTGCTTCCTTCTGCGATGTGGGGTCCAAAGCAGCCCGTGCCGCAGGGAACAGCAGGGCGGCAGTCCAGAGTGTCCGGGGTCCGGGTTTTCCCCGGGGTCCGCAGCTCCAGTACCCCGGCTCTGATCTCTGGAGGACGCTGCAGACCAGCTCAAGGGGCTCTGCCTAGGAGGCCCTCGGGGTATTCTCCTGAGGTTCCTCTACGCAGACTGGGCAGCAAGCTCCGTCCACCCGCGTGGGCTCAGGACAGGGCGCAGGCTGGCAGGCTTCCACGAAGCAGGTGACCTGCCCATCCTAGAAGAACGGGACACGCCTGTCATTCCTGACAGACAGCTGGGCACCTGGGCTGGCACCGCTGTCATGCCCGGCATCTGGGCTGGGACACGGCTCTCCTCTGCTGTGCCCCATTCTCCCCAAGCCACACAGGAAGTCGCATCCAGCCCAGGATGCGAGGGATGAGAAAGGGTAAAATCTGACCCTGCTGGTGCCAGGGCCCCACGTCGGGCTCCATCTCACTGCCTTGGCTGCCAGCTCGAGCTCCCCCGGCGGCGGCGGCCACACTACGCTTCCGGCAGCGCTCCATCCCACCCTGCCCTCCGTCCACGGCCGCCCAGCCAGGACTGGACAGAGCCACGAGGGCAGGCAAGTGTTCCGCTGGCCCTGGGACAGGGTGCACACAGTGGCGTTCTAGTTTCTGTGGTGAGCATGCGCCCTCCACAGCCACTGCTCAGGTGCTGGGGTAACCAGGCCAGGGCGGGGGCAGGCCCAGCGGGCTCCGAGACGGTGGAAGGACAGTGGAAGGCGCCGCCCTCCGGACACGGGCCCGGCACTCACTCTGCATTCACAGGTGCTGCACGCGTCTCTTCTCCACGTTGCGTGGTTGGCGTGGGACTTGCCGTCGGCGTCCACACACTGCGCGGTGCTGAGGCGAGACTCCAGCGTGTTGATCTGCAACGGGGCACAGAGCGTCCGCCCCGCAGCCTTGTGCAAAACATTCCTACCTACACTAGGCTGAGCAATGGCCGGGACCTCAAGGGTACTGACTGGACCGGTGGGCGCTAACCAGGCGGAGGTCCGAGTGAGCAGGGCAGCCACCGCCCAGCACCCCACCCCGCTCCGCTGTAATGACGTCAGAGGACCGAGGCTGGACGCAGCCCAGCCGCTGGCAGGCTGCAACAAGAACCACGGGAGGGCACCCCGGGGCCACCCGCCCCCCACCCACCACCGGACACAACCACCTTCCAGTGGCCCCGCCGGGCTGTGGACAGGCCACAGGGAACAAGGTTCACAGGGCCTGTACCTGTCTTCTGAGGTCTGTGATGGTCCTCTGCATCTCCTGGACAAATTCCTTGAAGTCATTTGTCGCTGTTCCTTCTGAGAGCTCGGAGGAAGCTGTCGTGGCATTGCTGGGTGCACCGTGCTTTGCACTGAGGGGCAGGGGGAGGAGGCGCGGCGATGGGTCCTCCTGCACCCAGCAGGACCAAGCAGGACCGACTACAGACCTGCCCTCCACCCTGGGGGACAGCCCTGCGAAGCCCAGCCCAAGGCAGGAGTGCAGGCTGATGGAGACAGCTCCTGCGGGACGCCATGGGGCGGGGAGCACCTTCCACAGCCGCACCCAGATCTCACCTCAGCTCCTTCTGCGGTCTCGCTCTTTTGGTAGGCTCATCCTCCTGGTAGCTGAAATCCAGAGACCGCTTGCTCCGGAAGTGGTACGAGAATGCGTTGAACTGTCCCCTGGTCCTGCAGTCTGGAGAGAGGGAGGAGAATGCCCTAAACTGCCCCTGGTCCTGCAGTCTGGAGGGGAAAGGTAGGAGAATGCACTGAACTGCCCCTGGTCCTGAAGTCTGGAAGAGGTAGGAGGATGCACTAAACTGCAGCTGGTCCTGCAGTCTGGAGAGAGGTAGGAGAATGCCCTGAACTGCCCCTGGTCCTGCAGTCTGGAGAGAGGTAGGAGAATGCACTGAACTGCCCCTGGTCCTGCAGTCTGGAGGGGAAAGGTAGGAGAATGCACTGAACTGCCCCTGGTCCTGCAGTCTGGAGGGGAAAGGTAGGAGGATGCACTGAACTGTCCCTGGTCCTGCAGTCTAGAGAGAGGTAGGAGAATGCACTAAACTGCCCCTGGTCCTGCAGTCTGGAAGAGGTAGGAGAATGCACTAAACTGCCCCTGGTCCTGCAGTCTGGAGAGAGGTAGGAGAATGCACTGAACTGCCCCTGGTCCTGCAGGCTGGAAGAGGTAGGAGAATGCACTGAACTGCCCCTAGTCCTGCAGTCTGGAGAGGAAAGGTAGGAGAATGCACTGAACTGCCCCTGGTCCTGCAGTCTGGAGAAAGGTAGGAGAATGCACTGAACTGCCCCTGGTCCTGCAGTCTGGAGAGAGGTAGGAGAATGCCCTGAACTGCCCCTGGTCCTGCAGTCTGGAGGGGAAAGGTAGGAGAATGCACTGAACTGCCCCTGATCCTGCAGTCTGGAAGAGGTAGGAGAATGCACTAAACTGCCCCTGGTCCTGCAGTCTGGACAGAGGTAGGAGAATGCACTGAACTGCCCCTGGTCCTGCAGGCTGGAAGAGGTAGGAGAATGCACTGAACTGCCCCTAGTCCTGCAGTCTGGAGAGGAAAGGTAGGAGAATGCACTGAACTGTCCCTGGTCCTGCAGTCTGGAGAGAGGTAGGAGAATGCACTGAACTGCCCCTGGTCCTGCAGGCTGGAGGGGAAAGGTAGGAGGATGCACTGAACTGCCCCTGGTCCTGCAGGCTAGAGAGGAAAGGTAGGAGGATGCACTGAACTTCCCCTGGTCCTGCAGTCTGGAGGGGAAAGGTAGGAGGATGCACTGAACTGTCCCTGGTCCTGCAGGCTGGAGAGAGGTAGGAGAATGCACTGAACTGCCCCTGGTCCTGCAGTCTGGAGGGAAAAGGTAGGAAAATGCACTGAACTGCCCCTGGTCCTACAGTCTGGAGAGAGGTAGGAGAATGCACTGAACTGCTCCTGGTCCTGCAGTCTGGAGAGAGGTAGGAGAATGCACTGAACTGCCCCTGGTCCTGCAGTCTGGAGAGGGGTAGGAGAATGCACTGAACTGCCCCTGGTCCTGCAGTCTGTAGGGGAAAGGTAGGTAGAGGAAAAAGGTAAGAGAATGCACTGAACTGCCCCTGGTCCTGCAGTCTGGAGGGGAGAGGTAGGAGAATGCACTGAACTGTCCCTGGTCCTGCAGGCTGGAGAGAGGTAGGAGAATGCACTGAACTGCCCCTGGTCCTGCAGTCTGGAGAGAGGTAGGAGGATGCACTGAACTGCCCCTGGTCCTGCAGTCTGGAGGGGAAAGGTAGGAGAATGCACTGAACTGCCCCTGGTCCTGCAGTCTGGAGGGGAAAGGTAGGAGAATGCACTGAACTGCCCCTGGTCCTGAAGGCTGGAGAGGAAAGGTAGGAGAATGCACTGAACTGCCCCTGGTCCTGCAGGCTGGAGAGGAAAGGTAGGAGGATGCACTGAACTGTCCCTGGTCCTGCAGTCTGGAGAGAGGTAGGAGACTGCACTGAACTGCCCCTGGTCCTGCAGTCTGGAGGGAAAAGTAGGAGGATGCACTGAATTGTCCCTGGTCCTGCAGGTTGGAGGGGAAAGGTAGGTGGAGGGGAAAGGTAGGAGAATGCACTGAACTGCCCCTGGTCCTGCAGTCTGGAGGGGAGAGGTAGGAGAATGCACTGAACTGCCCCTGGTCCTGCAGGCTGGAGAGAGGTAGGAGAATGCACTGAACTGCCCTTGGTCCTGCAGTCTGGAGAGAGGTAGGAGAATGCACTGAACTGCCCCTGGTCCTGCAGTCTGGAGAGAGGTAGGAGGATGCACTGAACTGCTCCTGGTCCTGCAGTCTGGAGAGGAAAGGTAGGAGGATGCACTGAACTGTCCCTGGTCCTGCAGTCTGGAGGGGAAAGGTAGGAGAATGCACTGAACTGCCCCTGGTCCTGCAGTCTAGAGAGAGGTAGGAGGATGCACTGAATTGTCCCTGGTCCTGCAGGCTGGAGAGAGGCAGAGATGGCTCTGACTTTAGCAGAAAATAAGCACACCTTGTCCAAGAGCAACTATCTTCTATGGTGTGTCTATGAAACCAATAGAACACCCAGAAGACAGGCAGCGGCGGACGGGCTCGTGGAGCCCAAGAGGTGGCTGCTCTGGCCCTAGCCCAGGCCCACGGCACCACCTGCCACCTGCATCACCAGGACAGGCCAGCCCACCGTGTCTCCGATGCCCATCCTGCCATCCCTGCCACCTGCAGATGCCGCTGGTCCCACAGCACACACAGAGAATGTCTGCCCACATCCTGGGCTGAGTGCCAGGTGGCTCTCTGCCCCTTATCCAAAACCACTGACGGCAACATGGAGTACCATGGCCTCTCAAGGTGGCTGAGGCCTACCCTAAGCTCTATTATTATTTTTTTTTGGGGGGGGGGTCCGGTTGTGGGGTCTGAACCCTGGGCCTGGGCACTGTCCCTCAGCTCTTCAGCTCAAGGCTAGCGCTTTACCACTTGAGCCACAGCGCCACTTCCGGCTTTTTTTTTTGCTTATGTGGTGCTAAGGAATCGAACCCAGGGCCTCATGCATGAAAGGCAAGCGCTCTACCACTGAGCCACCTTCCCAGCCCTACCCTAAGCTCTAGAAGGGGACACCCAAGAGCTGGGTCTCCCCAGGACAGAGAGCGAGGACCCCACACCCACCCAGGACAGAGAGCAAGGACCCCACACCCACCCAGGACAGAGAGCAAGGACCCCACACCCACCCAGGACCAGGACAGAGAGCGAGGACCCCACACCCACCCAGGACAGAGAGCGAGGACCCCACACCCACCCAGGACCAGGACAGAGAGCGAGGACCCCACACCCACCCAGGACCACAGCAGAGAGCGAGGACCCCACACCCACCCAGGACAGAGAGCGAGGACCCCACACCCACCCAGGACCAGGACAGAGAGCGAGGACCCCACACCCACCCAGGACCAGGACAGAGAGCGAGGACCCCACACCCACCCAGGACCACAGCAGAGAGCGAGGACCCCACACCCACCCAGGACCAGGACAGAGAGCGAGGACCCCACACCCACCCAGGACCACAGCAGAGAGCGAGGACCCCACACCCACCCAGGACAGAGAGCGAGGACCCCACACCCACCCAGGACCAGGACAGAGAGCGAGGACCCCACACCCACCCAGGACAGAGAGCGAGGACCCCACACCCACCCAGGACCACAGCAGAGAGCGAGGACCCCACACCCACCCAGGACCACAGCAGAGAGCGAGGACCCCACACCCACCCAGGACCACAGCAGAGAGCGAGGACCCCACACCCACCCAGGACCACAGCAGAGAGCGAGGACCCCACACCCACCCAGGACAGAGAGCGAGGACCCCACACCCACCCAGGACAGAGAGCGAGGACCCCACACCCACCCAGGACCAGGACAGAGAGCGAGGACCCCACACCCACCCAGGACCAGGACAGAGAGCGAGGATGCTCATTCCCCCTCCTGTGCTGTCTCTCCCAGGCCTGTGAACTTTCCCAGCCATAGAGCAGAGAACCTGGCTAGGTTCCTCTGAGCAGCACTGGGTCTGGAAACATGAGTTTGTCTCTGAGAACAAGAGGAACTGACTTTCCCACAGTTCTGGCCAAACACTGAATGAACTGTGCTGCCAGGCTGTGGAAAAGCAACCACACAGGAGGAAAACACAATCACGAAAAACCAGAGGCAGGCGCCCCAAAACGGGATTCACAAGGGAGTGAGGGACTCCAAGCCCTGGCTCCACAGCAAGAAGAAGTCCACATGTTAATCACACCAGAGAGTCACACTTCACGCGGGCCTCACGGTACGCTCGCGTGTCTCCGGCACTCTTTCCTGCCCTTCCTCTCTTTGGAGGTGGTAAAAACAACTCCTAATACTCAACCCAGACCGTCACATCTGCTACTTTTCCTGTGTAGTCACTTAGCTCCTGAACTCAGGCACCTTTCATTCAACACCTCCCCCGTGGGCCATGGGGTGGGACCCAGCGAGGGCTGGCCGTCCCCGCCCCCACCCCGCCCCCACGCCCTGCCCCTCAATGTGGGCAGAACCCCCTCCACCTTCCTGAAAACAGGAGTTTGCCACAAACAGCAGATTGGGTTCTGCATGTCTCCCAGCTTAATGTCTACAAGCCATAATCACAGTACTGAAAAAGCCAAAATGGTGCACAAATCAGAAGCTAGAAACAGGGGTTAACCATGACAGAGATTTGGGAATGCAATGTCGGTCAGTGGCCACCCGAAGCTGGCAGCTACAAGAGCAGCCTGCGGACCGCAGCAGGGAGGGGAGGTGCTAGGGTAGCGGCCTCTCGGCCATGCGGCCATACGGGCAGGATGCTTGGGCAGGAGCAGGAATCCCAGGCGGGCCAGGATGGCCCCCGGATGGCTCTGGCTACAGATACCTAGAACACCGAGCATAAACTGTCCAAAGACAACTAGATATACTCAGCATGCCTCCTCGATATTGTTGTTTTTCATCTCCTTATTTGTGTGTATGGATAGACTAACACATGGTACTTGTATTTAGTGAGGCTTTAAGGAAAAAAATAGGAGGAGGCTGAAGTTTCTTTGACAAACGATATTAGCTGTCCTGAACATCTGGGGCCTCTCGGCCAGCAGCACCTCAGGACCAGGTGTCTCCAGTGATCCTGGGCTGTCAGTCAGGGAGCACACAGCCAGCCCTGTTCAGGGCCAGTCCCCGCCATCCTGCCGGCGTAGGCCACGACCACACCAAGCCTTCTGTCGTTATTCTACAGTGTACTGCTGTGCCAGACGGCTGGCCAGCGGTGCCCACTGCCCAGGCATCGGGTGACATCAACCAGCCACGGGCGTGACGGCCCCGGGAAGTGCATGCTGTTGTACATGCAGGGCGATGACATGTACACCTCTCAGAGCACAGCTCCACCACTGAGGTACGTGGCTGTGCACACATACACCAGTGAGGCTATGTCACTAGACGCCCGGCTGTGTGCACACACACACACCAGTGAGGCTGTGTCACTAGACGCCCGGCTGTGTGCACACACACATCAGTGAGGCTGTGTCACTAGACGCCCGGCTGTGTGCACACACACACCAGTGAGGCTGTGTCACTAGACGCCCGGCTGTGTGCACACACACACCAGTGAGGCTGTGTCACTAGACGCCCGGCTGTGTGCACACACACACCAGTGAGGCTGTGTCACTAAGCGCCCGGCTGTGTGCACACACACACATCAGTGAGGCTGTGTCACTAAACGCCCGGCTGTGTGCACACACACACATCAGTGAGGCTGTGTCACTAGACGCCCGGCTGTGTGCACACACACACACCAGTGAGGCTGTGTCACTAGACGCCCGGCTGTGTGCACACACACACCAGTGAGGCTGTGTCACTAGACGCCCGGCTGTGTGCACACACACACCAGTGAGGCTGTGTCACTAAGCGCCCGGCTGTGTGCACACACACACCAGTGAGGCTGTGTCACTAGACGCCCGGCTGTGTGCACACACACACACCAGTGAGGCTGTGTCACTAGACGCCCGGCTGTGTGCACACACACACACCAGTGAGGCTGTGTCACTAGACGCCCGGCTGTGTGCACACACACCAGTGAGGCTGTGTCACTAGACGCCCGGCTGTGTGCACACACACCAGTGAGGCTGGCACCCTGCCTGCCAAGTCCCCGTGGTGGTGGCACCCCCGTGAGCACTCAGAGACTGTCAACGGGGAGACCACGGGCGGCCACGCACCTTCACAGCAGTCCTGCCACAGCCGGAGGTCCACGCGGGGAACGTCCTTGCAGCTGCCGTAGCCATGTGGGAACTCCGCCACCCGAAACACGTCCGCCTGCACGTGGGTGATGTTGTCCGAGTTGTCGCACAGGATTCTGGCCAGTGACGTCTGCCTGATCTGCGTCAGCTGGGCGGGGGAGAACACCCCCGGGTTTTCGTACCACAGCCTGTGTGCCGGAAACAAGAGCGGCTCAGTCCCCCAAGCAGAGGCAGCCACCTCCGATGACAACGACTGAAAGACTCAGACATGGCTCAGTACTCCACCCAAGGAGAGAAAAAGGAAGACCAGCACAGGAGCCTGTGACAGCCCTGCAGGCTGGAACACGCAGGTGGAAAGAGCATACTAGCCCCGCAGAATGTAACACGCCCCAGAGAGAGCGTGCTAGCCCTGTACCAGAACACACGCCTGGAGACGGTGTGCTAGCCCTGTACCAGAATACACACCTGGAGACGGTGTGCTAGCCCTGTACCAGAACACACGCCTGGAGACAGTGTGCTAGCCCTGTACCAGAACACACGCCTGGAGATGGTGTGCTAGCCCTGTACCAGAACACACGCCTGGAGACGGTGTGCTAGCCCTGAACACACGCCTGGAGACGGTGTGCTAGCCCTGAACACACGCCTGGAGACGGTGTGCTAGCCCTGTACCAGAACACACGCCTGGAGACGGTGTGCTAGCCCTGTACCAGAACACACGCCTGGAGACAGTGTGCTAGCCCTGTACCAGAATACACACCTGGAGACAGTGTGCTAGCCCAGAACACACGCCTGGAGACAGTGTGCTAGCCCTGTACCAGAACACACGCCTGGAGACGGTGTGCTAGCCCTGTACCAGAACACATGCCTGGAGACAGTGTGCTAGCCCAGAACACACACCTGGAGACGGTGTGCTAGCCCTGTACCAGAACACACGCCTGGAGACGGTGTGCTAGCCCAGAACACACACCTGGAGACAGTGTGCTAGCCCTGTACCAGAACACACACCTGGAGACAGTGTGCTAGCCCAGAACACACACCTGGAGACGGTGTGCTAGCCCTGTACCAGAACACACGCCTGGAGACGGTGTGCTAGCCCAGAACACACGCCTGGAGACAGTGTGCTAGCCCTGTACCAGAACACACGCCTGGAGACGGTGTGCTAGCCCTGTACCAGAACACACGCCTGGAGACAGTGTGCTAGCCCTGAACACATGCCTGGAGACGGTGTGCTAGCCCAGAACACACGCCTGGAGACTGTGTGCTAGCCCTGTACCAGAACACACGCCTAGAGACGGTGTGCTAGCCCTGTACCAGAACACACGCCTGGAGACAGTGTGCTAGCCCTGTACCAGAACACACGCCTGGAGACAGTGTGCTAGCCCAGAACACACGCCTGGAGATGGTGTGCTAGCCCAGAACACACGCCTGGAGATGGTGTGCTAGCCCAGAACACACACCTAGAGACAGTGTGCTAGCCCTGTACCAGAACACACGCCTGGAGATGGTGTGCTAGCCCCGAACACACGCCTGGAGACGGTGTGCTAGCCCCGCAGAATGGAACACGCCCCGGAGAGAGTGTGCTAGCCCTGCAGGGGCTGTACATCCAGATCCTCAGGACATTAACTAATAGTGCTCACTGGCCCCAAGCAAGCTGTCTCACTGAAGTTCAATGACTGAAGACGGGCTTCTCCCTGGGGTCTGGACGCAAGCAGCAGCTGGCATGCAGCTGGCACGCAGCGGCACACAAGGCCAGGAGAGGAAGGGCCTCCTCCACTCTGTGCTCCCAGGCCCGGGAAGGGGGTGCAGGAGACGCTGCCGCGCGCTGGTGCCTACCTGTCCCCATCCCGCAGACGCCGGAACTGTGTGCTGAGCAGGCACAGAAGGGTGGGCCCCAGGAGGCTGCCGGGAACCACATCCTCCACCATGAGGGCTGGGAACAGATCGATGTTGAGTGGTGAGCCATAGAGCCTGGGGTGAAAGAAGCACACACTTCCATTGGCATGTGATACAACACAGACCTTGCTGTTTACACCGCTGTACGTTATTTACACACATTGCACCATTGCACGTGATACAACACAGACCTTGCTGTTCACACCGCTGTACGTTATTTTATGCAGATTGCACCTTTGCTTGCTAGTCTTTTCTTCCTTTCTTCCTTTTGTGTGTGTGCTGGTCGTAGGACTTGAAAGGGCCTGGGCACCGTCCCTGATCTTCTGTGCTCAAGGCTAGCACTCTACCACTTGAACCAAAGTTCTACTTCTACCTTTTGGGTGTCTGAGATGATTCTCTGGGACTTTCTTGCCCAGGCTGGCTTCGAACCACGATACTCAAATCTCAGCCTCATGAGCTGCTGTGATTACAGGTATAAGCACTGGTGCCCAGCTATGCTTGTCATTTATATATTTTTAAGGCCCTGTGGCCTCAGCTAAGAGGAGGGGCTCACGCCTACAATCCTCCCTACTTGGAAGGCCATTACCAAGAAGATCACAGTTCAAGGGCAGCCAAGTAAAAAATCATGTGAGGGGGGCTGGGAAGGTGGCTCAGTGGTAGAGCGCTTGCCTTGCATGCATGAAGCCTGGGTTCGATTCCTCAGCACCACATAAGCAAAAAGCAAAAAGGCGGAAGTGGCATTGTGGCTCAAGTGGTAGAGTGCTAGCCTTGAGCTGAAGAGCTGAGGGACAGTGCCCAGGCCCAGAGTTCAGGCCCCACGACTGGACCAAAAAAAAATCATGTGAGGCTCCATCTCCAAAGGAAAATCTGGGCCCCAGCTCCAATGGGAAGCATGAAACAGGAAGATCAAGGTCCAGGCTGAGAAAAAGGTTGAGACCTCAAAAATAACCAGAACAAAAAGGGTTAGGGGTATGGCTTAAGCAGTAAAGCACCTGCAAGAGGTCTGGAGTTCAAGCCCTTGTTAGTACTACCAAATGACGAAAAGTGGGGTGGGGGAAGGACTTACGCATCACAGGTTTTCCCAGTTTCCCGCTGCATGCATACCTCAGACACACACACTGAAAGACTAGGGAGCTGAGGAAACACTGGGCTGCTTCCTCTCAGGGCGTGGGGGAGGGGCACTCGGTGGGCCTGAGGGCAGACAGGGCAGCATCGCCCAGAGTGGAGCAAGCGTTCTGCGTAAGCTGGCATCGCTCTGTTTTCTTCTGAGTGGGGGGACTGCCCTTCCTTCCACTTACAAGATGCCACCGAAGTCACCTGCAAAGGAGCGGGCGTACACGCCCCGCACCTCCCCCTTTCTGTCCCTACCCCCCGGGGTTCAAGGGCTGGAAGGTTCCGCTGTGAGAACGAGCCTGCAATGCACCCCAGGGACCCTCACAGCCGCCCCCAAGATCCTGCAGGCCAGGCTGCAGGACACAGTGCAGGAGCGGCCCAGGCCCGGCCCAGCTCTCCAGCCCAGCTGCTTGAAGATGCAGACCTTCATGCGGCTGCCAGCACAGAAGACGGCTGGAAACGCTGCCTTCCGCGCTGGGATTTCATCACCCTTCAGCCGTGCCCTCCGCTGCCTGTCACGGGTTACTAAAACGGATGTGCGAATATCCATCTCTGCCTCCACACAGAACCAGCCCAGGGCTGCATTGCGAAATCGTTTGGCAAAGAGAGAAAAGACTAGTGGACTAATCTGTGGCAGTCATTACAAGAACAGAGCTAGGACGTTTGTAAAATTAGCCAGCACGGAGAAAAGCCCACACTGCACATGTGGAGGTGTGTGCCCCCCCCCCCCCCCCCCCCCCCCCCCGGTAATCTAATGCTGTGAGCCTCATGAATAGCAGAGCCCTGGAGGCCTAGGGAGCGCTCACAGCAAAGCCCAGGAGGAATCCTGAGGGTTCTGGGTCTGACGGTGTGGGGGCAGAGGGGGCTCAGCTAAGGTCCTGAGGGACGCCACGTCACGAGAGAACACAGTTCAAGGAGGCCACAAGGAAAGTTTTGGGTTTTTTTAATGACTAAGTGGAAAATAGTAGATCTTACATGTAAAATGGCCTTCACTTGGCTCAGAGATCAAAAACCAGGACAGTCATAAAGGGAGAATGAATGAGGAATTGCTTTTATGTTTGTAAAAGACTCGGATGTAGACAGTGTCATCACCAACATGAACAACGTGAGTGAGCTACGGACAGAGGGCCCAGCGCGACCCAGCGCGACGACCCAGCGCGGCCATCACCCGCCCTGAGCGCTGAAGCCTCGCCAGACTCACCGGGCGGCAGAAGGCGGCTGCAGGCGCGGCACCCTCCCGGTGGGTCTGTCTGCTGGCCTGCTCTCCTCCCCTGGGGAGCAGCACCGCTCTGTCAGGGGGAAGGCCAGACACTGAGGTCTCCCCCAACCATCACCTCTGAGCAAACCAAAGCCAGAGCCCGGGACACACAACTCTCGTCTTCACCAAAACTTGCTGGCTCACAGAGCCATCTGAGCAGACAAGAGTGAGGCTGGTGGGCAAAACGGACCACACCTGGCTCAGGGCTAGCAACACAGCACTGTCCAGTGACACTGGATATACCGGGGCTTTCTGTCCAGGACACTGGGCACACACGGGACCTTCCAGCCATCCAGGACACTGGACACACACGGGGCCTTACATCCATCCAGGACACTGGACACACACGGGACCTTCCGTCCATCCAGGACACTGGACACACATAGGACCTTCCATCCATCCAGGACACTGGGCACACACGGGACCTTCCAGCCATCCAGGACACTGGGCACACACGGGACCTTCCATCCATCCAGGACACTGGGCACACATGGGACCTTCCAGCCATCCAGGACACTGGACACACACGGGACCTTCCATCCATCCAGGACACTGGACACACACGGGACCTTCCATCCATCCAGGACACTGGACACACACGGGACCTTCCATCCATCCAGGACACTGGACACACACGGGACCTTCCATTCATCCAGGACACTGGACACACATAGGACCTTCCGTCTGTCCAGAACACTAGGCACACACGAGACCTTCTGTCCAGGACACTGGGCACACACGGAGCCTTCCATCCAGGACACTGGACACACACGGAGCTTTCCGTCCAGGACACTGGACACATACGAGCCTCCCGTCCAGGACACTAAGCACCACACACAGGCCTTGTGTTCTGGTTTCCTGAAACTCACCTTTTCAGCTTCTCCCGAATCTCAGGGTTCTTGATCTCATTTTTCAGGTCCTCGAAGGTGTGGGCAGCCGACAGGTTGCAGTAGACCCGGTAGTCATGATAGGGCGGGATGCCGTGATCGCGGCCCCGCTGGATGTTCATGGCGGCCAGGTCCAGGGCCACTGTCCGCGCCATGGAGAAGAGCCGCTCCGTGAGCTCCGTGTTCAGCAGCTGCGTGGGCACCCGCATCTTCCCGGGCACCCCGAACAGCCCCCTGAGGAGCGGGTCGATGCCGCCCTCGTTCACGATCCGGAACGGGGAGAAGAAGGCCTTGTGCAGGGGCACGTGGCCCTGCGGGATGGGCTGGAAGCTGGCGTCCAGCCGGTAGAGCACGGGGTTGATCAGCGTGTGGCCGAACCGGAAGGCCGCGGTGGCGAAGGCGTTGACGATGCCGGCGTTGACTCCAGGGTCGTAGCCCCGGTACGCCCCGAGCATCTTCATGCCCACGGCGCCCAGCACCTTCGGCAGCCAGTGCTGGTAGGTGATGTGCTGCATTTCCGCGCCCACGATCTTCCGGGCCTCGTGGTAAATGGTGTCGCCGTCCCAGTGCGGGTTCAGCGCCAGCAGCCGGGCGGCGATGCGGTTGTGCTCCCGGAACCACAGCGTGTGCATGCTGGTCAGGCCCAGCTGCTCGTTGGCGCGGTGGTCGCCGGCCAGGAAGCAGGGGATGGGGCTCTCGTTCTCGTCCCGCATGCACTCGGTGGGTGGCCCCGTGGCGAAGGGCAGCAGCGGCTTCCCGGACCTCTGCACGATGCCCTGCCGCAGCAGGCCCCGCTGGCTGGCCAGGTCACGGACGCTGCGGGCCTCGTGGTCCGAACTGCCGTACACGTTGGAGGCGTCAATGTAGGAGGTGAGCTGGTTGATCTGCTCCCGGGGGTACACGGAGTTCATGAGCAGGGAGGTCATGCCGCTGCCACACACCGGGCTGGAGCGCACGAAGAACATGCAGCGGGCCCCGGCGCGCACGCGCGGGTCGTGCGGAGGGATCATGATGGAGAAGCAGGGCGGGTCGTTGGTGCACACGGCGCTGCAGTGCTGCCCGTCCGAGAAGCGCGCCTCGCTCAGGGCCACCACGGTCGAGTCCAGGTCGTGGTCCAGGAACTGGCCCCACTGCATGAGCATGTGCGTGAACTGCGTGTCGGGGGTCACGTCCTCCGAGCCCACCAGCGTGGTGGACACCAGGCGGGGCATGGGCAGCGCGTGCCCGTGGTAGCGGCGTCCGGCGTTGACGCCGCGCGGCGTGTTGAAGCCGTTCTCGTACACGGCCTTCAGCAGGCGCTCGAAGGCGGTCAGCGAGGCGCCCCACATCGGGTGCTGCAGGTTGTTGCACGTGCCGTCGTGCGTGCGGTACTTCTGGTGGAAGCACATGTCCGAGCAGTTGTTCACGCGCCGGTGCGCGGTGCAGCCGGACAGATTGGCAATGAGGCTCAGGTAGGGCGGTGACACCAGGTCATTGTAGTGGTAACCTGCAACCAACAGGGCCGTTCAGTGCCCGCCCGCCTGCCCGCCACCCCGGAAGCGGCAGGGCGGACAGGGACGCACGTGAAACGGTCACTCGGGTTCCATCCACCAGAGCTAGGGGCCCACCCTCTGGGTGCACGTCTTCAAAAACATCTTTCCAACAGTGCTCAGCTCTGCTTTCTGTGGGCACGAAGCCAGAGACTTGGCAAAGGCTTCCGTGCGATCTGCCCTGTGAGGACTGAGTGATCGCAGCCTGTGGGGCAGACAGACACCGCCTGGCCGCAAGGCCGGACCTGCCACAGACTCGGCCGGCTCTGCGTCCAAGCACCAGCCGCAGACGAGGCAGGCTCTGCGTCCGAGCACCAGCCGCTGACCTAAGACAAGGCAGCCCGCGTGCGCTGGGCAGAATGGCGCAGACAGACCCGCTCTGGGCGAGGGCTTGAGCAGGGCTTCTTGTGAAGCGCGGTAGCATGGTGTGTGTGGGCTGAGCCTAGGGAGAGGAGCAAGGGCGGGTACTGACTTGTTCCGTTTAGGTCGACCATCAGGCCGTGCTGCACGTGCTCCTGGATAAGCTGCAGGGTCCTCTCGAATATCTCTCCCGCCCGGGCCTGTCCCACAGTGTAGGGGTCCCGGGGGTACCGGAACAGGGCCAGAAGGTCGTTGGGAGAACGTGGACGGCTGGCAGGAGTGGAGGGAAAGGAGCAACAAAACGAATTACCAGAGACAAAAGCCAGAATCCCACAGTAGACTTACGGGAAGGAAATTTCTATGGCTACTTTTGACAACGTGATGAACCGTACCTTCCTGATCCCAGGTGGAAGGCAAGCAAGAAGACAGACAGACAGACAAGAACCAAAGACACTAAAAACAAACCATTAATAAGTCAGGAGAGAAAGTCACAGGAATTGCATTTCAATTAAGGTGCAGAAAAACAGCTAGGATTGCCAACACAAACAAGACCCAATAGCAACTCTTAAAACATTTTGTTTTTTGCCCAATCGTTAGTGACAAGCCAAAGGAATGAGTTAAGCCTGCTGAAATGTTTTGGTTGTGAGTCACAGTTCAGATCCTATTTGGAAAGGATCCCTCCTGCTAGCATCTTAGCACCTAGAAAAGCCACAGCCAACGCTGCCTGCAGGATTAATATGCAGTGTTTTCATCAGATAAAACAGGCAGAAGCCTGGCAACTAGGCCTGCACACCAGCCAACCCTCACCCCAGCCCGGGCCCCCCCAGGCCCGCCTACCCGTCAAACAGGTGCGTCCGCGTTGAGTTTATGGCTCGGTCAACGGTCGTGATGGCTTCCACAATAGAGGTAGCAACAAACGGGTCGCCGTTCCGACTGACATCAGGAACTAGGAAAACGGGCCATGTGAGCATGCTGCCACGTCTAGACACGACTTCATCGGACACAGACCGTGCTTTTCCCTCAGCTATTCCTCCTTTTCAAACCAACGCTTAAACGACCGCATCACAAATTCTACTAGAATTTGTCTTCCGACAGTGTGGAGCCTGCCATAGCCCAGGACGACAGAAGTGGGTGTCACGCAGCTCCCCTTGGGATCCAGCCGGTGGTGAAGGTGGAGGAGGCTTCCTCTCAAGGACCCGTGTTCTCCCGGAGCCCAGCCTTCTCCAACTCTGCCCCTCACCCCTCAGGACGTGTCCTGCCATCTGGCTGTCACAGCCACCACCCCACATCTGTACAGGGCACGACTCTCCTCTCTGCAGACCACCACGTGCAACATGCACACCGCGCCAAGCAACACCTCACACCATTCCACAGGACAGACGCCACACAGACACACCGCACATCCCTCGATCCACCCCAAGTCACACCACGCCCACACGCTTACCCCAAGGGTGCGCTTTGTCCCCTCTCCTCAATACTACTGTCGGCCTCAGCCACCAACCACATAACTGCATTCCAACCACGTTTCATCCCCCACCGTAGCCTCCACCTCGGGCAGCTGGTGGTGATGCTTTTCCTCCGGGCCCCCGCTGCCATGCCGGGTGTGGGCACAGTTCAGAGCGACCACAGCGCAGGGCTGCCGCGCACAGCCTCCTCCCCCTGGGCCTCCTCCACCCAGAATGCACCCCTCACGTGGACTCCGGTACAACTGTCTCCCCATCTTTCTCCCTCTTCCCCCCCCCCCCCGTTTCCTTTCTTTCCCACCTTCCTGTGGCTAATAGAATCACTTGATTTGCCACGATAATCCTTGCGCTCTGAGGCCATCTTTTCACAGATTAATTTTAGTCTTTTTCTCACCCCTACCCCAAACCCGCAGCCCACACCAACCGCTAACTGCTAGAAAGGGTAGACGCACAGGCCGGTCTCTGTGTACCTGACAGCAACCCCCCCCCCCGTACCTGACAGACAGCCCCCCTCCCCGTCCTATGTAACTGACAGCCCCCCATCTGTGTACCTGACAGACAGCCCCCCTCCCCCTCCTATGTAACTGACAGGCCCCCTCCCCCCCATGTACCTGACAGACAGCTCCCCTCCCCCCTGTGTACCTGACAGGCCCCCCTCCCCCTATGTAGACAGGCCCCTCCCCCCGTGTACCTGACAGACAGGCCCCTCCCCCCATGTACCTGACAGGCCCCTCCCCCCTGTGTACCTGACAGACAGGCCCCTCCCCCTTGTGTACCTGACAGACAGGCCCCTCCCCCCTGTGTACCTGACAGACAGGCCCCTCCCCCCGTGTACCTGACAGGCCCCTCCCCCCTGTGTACCTGACAGGCAGGCCCCTCCCCCCTGTGTACCTGACAGGCCCCTCCCCCCTGTGTACCTGACAGACAGGCCCCTCCCCCCTGTGTACCTGACAGGCCCCTCCCCCCTGTGTACCTGACAGGCCCCTCCCCCCTGTGTACCTGACAGGCAGGCCCCTCCCCCCTGTGTACCTGACAGGCCCCTCCCCCCTGTGTACCTGACAGGCCCCTCCCCCCTGTGTACCTGACAGGCAGGCCCCTCCCCCCTGTGTACCTGACAGGCCCCTCCCCCCGTGTACCTGACAGGCCCCTCCCCCCTGTGTACCTGACAGACAGGCCCCTCCCCCCTGTGTACCTGACAGGCCCCTCCCCCCTGTGTACCTGACAGGCCCCTCCCCCCGTGTACCTGACAGGCCCCTCCCCCCTGTGTACCTGACAGGCCCCTCCCCCCTGTGTACCTGACAGGCCCCTCCCCCCTGTGTACCTGACAGGCAGGCCCCTCCCCCCTGTGTACCTGACAGACAGGCCCCTCCCCCCGTGTACCTGACAGGCCCCTCCCCCCTGTGTACCTGACAGACAGGCCCCTCCCCCCTGTGTACCTGACAGGCCCCTCCCCCCTGTGTACCTGACAGGCCCCTCCCCCTGTGTACCTGACAGGCCCCTCCCCCCCGTGTACCTGACAGGCCCCTCCCCCCTGTGTACCTGACAGGCCCCTCCCCCCTGTGTACCTGACAGGCCCCTCCCCCCTGTGTACCTGACAGGCCCCTCCCCCCTGTGTACCTGACAGGGCCCTCCCCCCTGTGTACCTGACAGGCCCCTCCCCCTGTGTACCTGACAGGCCCCCGGGTGACCTCCCCAGGGGCTAGGGGCTTCTCTCTCACATTTCACACCCCTTGGGCTCACAGACCCATCTGCTGCCCAAACATAACCCCAACCCTGGTCTTCTCCTCTCATGAGCAAGACGTGCCGAGAACAGGCCAGCAGTATGAGACAAGGATGCAGGAGGGAGGGGCCGACACAGAGAGATCGTGGTGTCCCGGGCTGCAGACCAGCGCGGCGCTAGCTGCCATCGCAAGAGTACCGGACCAGACACATCCAGCCAGGAGGCAGACACCGGGGCTGCAGACCAGCGCGGCGCCATCGCAAGAGTACCAGACCAGACACATCCAGCCAGGAGGCAGACACCGGGGCTGCAGACCAGCACGGCGCTAGCTGCCATCGCGAGAGTACCGGACCAGACACGTCCAGCCAGGAGGCAGACACCGGGGCTGCAGACCAGCACGGCGCTAGCTGCCATTGGAAGAGTACCGGACTAGACACGTCCAGCCAGGAGGCAGACACCGGGGCTGCAGACCAGCACGGCGCTAGCTGCCATTGGAAGAGTACCGGACTAGACACGTCCAGCCAGGAGGCAGACACCGGGGCTGCAGACCAGCATGGCGCTAGCTGCCATCGCAAGAGTACCGACTAGACACGTCCAGCCAGGAGGCAGACACCGGGGCTGCAGACCAGCGCGGCGCTAGCTGCCATTAGAAGAGTACCGGACTAGACACGTCCAGCCAGGAGGCAGACACCGGGGCAGGCTCATGTTTCCAGTGGCAGGGACAAACGGTGCCCACAGCCACACAATGGATCTGAAAGGTTGGAAGAGAACCGGGGGCCCCTGCATCAGGGCAGGGGATCCGAAGAAAGGCCTTAAGCCCTGACCACTCCTGAGTGACCAGCCTCGAATCACACTGAACCTGACCCACAAGACCTGGTGCCAGCAGAGGCCTCTCCACACGTGCCGGTCCTGTACCGCCAACGCCCTTCCTACCACTCACACTCAGCACCATGCTGACCGAGGCCCCTCCACACGCACCCGTCCCACACCACCTGCCACACGCACCCGTCCCACACCACCTGCCACACGCGCCCGTCCCACACCACCTGCCACACGCACCCGTCCCACACCACCTGCCACACGCACCCGTCCCACACCCTCCACACGCACCCGTCCCACACCCTCCACACGCACCCGTCCCACACCACCTGCCACAAGCACCCGTCCCACACCCTCCACACGCACCCGTCCCACACCACCTGCCACACGCACCCGTCCCACACCACCTGCCACACGCACCCGTCCCACACCCTCCACACGCACCCGTCCCACACCCTCCACACGCGCCTGTCCCACACCCTCCACACGCACCCGTCCCACACCCTCCACACGCACCCGTCCCACACCCTCCACACGCACCCGTCCCACACCCTCCACACGCACCCGTCCCACACCACCTGCCACACGCACCCGTCCCACACCACCTGCCACACGCACCCGTCCCACACCCTCCACACGCACCCGTCCCACACCACCTGCCACACGCACCCGTCCCACACCCTCCACACGCGCCTGTCCCACACCCTCCACACGCACCCGTCCCACACCCTCCACACGCACCCGTCCCACACCCTCCACACGCACCCGTCCCACACCACCTGCCACACGCACCCATCCCACACCCTCCACACGCACCCGTCCCACACCACCTGCCACACGCACCCGTCCCACACCCTCCACACGCGCCTGTCCCACACCCTCCACACGCACCCGTCCCACACCCTCCACACGCACCCGTCCCACACCCTCCACACGCACCTGTCCCGCACCGCCTGCCACACGCACCCGTCCCACACCCTCCACACGCACCTGTCCCGCACCGCCTGCCACACGCACCCGTCCCACACCCTCCACACGCACCCGTCCCACACCCTCTACACGCACCCGTCCCGCACCCTCCACACACGCCCATCCCGCACCACCTGCCACACGCACCCGTCCCACACCGCCGACGCCCTTCTTACCACTCACACTCAGCACCATGCTGACCGAGGCGTAACCGATCGAGTTCCGGGCCACACACTCGTAGCGACCAGAATCTGCCGTGCCGACATCATTGATCGTCAAGAAGCCTTCGGGGCTGATGTGAAATTTCCCACTCTCTGTCACCTGAACCCCATCCTGGAAGGGAACAGCAAAGCAGTATCACAGTCAGACTCAGAGACAGAGGCTGCCCTCAGAGGCCGATGGCCCGTGTGAAAGTAGGCTCCGCAAGTGGAAACAGCACCAAGGCCCATCCAGCCTTAAAAGGAAGGAGGCCGATTCCAGCCTCCCCAAACGCTGCACACGAGGAGCTCTTCACACGCAGATGCTCGGCTGAGGACACAGTTCTATGTAAAAGGTGAGTCTCAGGAGTGAGTGTGTGCAGGGGCAGAGCATGCGGAAAGCTCCCGTGGGCTGGGGCTACCGCGAGGCGTCCCAGGGGGCAGGTGAAGGACCGACACCCCTGCCAGGTGACCGTGAGTGTGGAGAGGACCGAGCAGGAGGAGAGCTGGGCCTTCAACCCTTGCCTGTGGGACCTGTGACCCCCACCCCCCCGCCATGAGTTCACTGCCCGGCGCAAGCTCTAGCAGGACCTCTCAGCTTGGCTGAGCAGGAGAAAAACTAATGCTCTCCCCCATGAAAACGGATCTGCAGGGTTTTTACTTGGCTGCTGGAAAGTGCTCTCATGAATAGGTACCTTCAGGGCACTTTTGATTCCTGCATACATGAAGTGTCCTGCATACGTGAAGTGTGGGTTTTATTGCTGAGCAATGTCTGAAGAGGACCAGAGAGATGGTGGTGAGCATATGTGTGGAGGGGAGGGGTGGTGAGCACGTGTGTGAGGAGGGGAGGGGTGGTGAGCACGCGCGTGTGTGTGTGTGTGTGTGTGTGTGGAGGGGAGAGGTGGTGAGCACATGTGTGTGTGTGTGTGTGGAGGGGAGGGGTGGTGAGCACGTGTGTGTGTGTGTGTGTGGAGGGGAAGGGTGGTGAGCACGTGTGTGTGTGTGTGTGTGTGTGGAGGAGAGGGGTGGTGAGCATGTGTGTGTGTGTGTGTGTGGAGGAGAGGGGTGGTGAGCATGTGTGTGTGTGTGTGTGTGGAGGAGAGGGGTGGTGAGCACGTGTGTGTGTGTGTGTGTGTGTGGAGGAGAGGGGTGGTGAGCACGTGTGTGTGTGTGTGTGTGGAGGAGAGGGGTGGTGAGCATGTGTGTGTGTGTGTGTGTGGAGGGAGGGGTGGTGAGCACGTGTGTGTGTGTGTGGAGGGGAGGGGTGGTGAGCACGTGTGTGTGTGTGGAGGGAGGGGTGGTGAGCACGCGCGTGTGTGGAGGGGAGGGGTGGTGAGCACGTGTGTGTGTGTGTGTGTGTGTGGAGGAGAGGGGTGGTGAGCACGTGTGTGTGTGTGTGTGTGGAGGAGAGGGGTGGTGAGCATGTGTGTGTGTGTGTGTGTGGAGGGGAGGGGTGGTGAGCACGTGTGTGTGTGTGTGTGGAGGGGAGGGGTGGTGAGCACGTGTGTGTGTGTGGAGGGGAGGGGTGGTGAGCATGTGTGTGTGTGTGTGTGTGGAGGGGAGGGGTGGTGAGCATATGTGTGTGTGTGTGGAGGGGAGGGGTGGTGAGCACGTGTGTGTGTGTGGAGGGGAGGGGTGGTGAGCACGTGTGTGTGTGTGTGGAGGGGAGGGGTGGTGAGCACGTGTGTGAGGAGGGGAGGGGTGGTGAGCATGCGTGTGTGTGTGTGTGTGGAGGGGAGGGGTGGTGAGCACGTGTGTGTGTGTGTGGAGGGGAGGGGTGTTGAGCACGTGTGTATGTGTGTGTGTGGAGGGGAGGGGTGGTGAGCACGTGTGTGTGTGTGTGGAGGGAAGGGTGGTGAGCACGTGTGTGTGTGTGTGTGTGTGTGTGGAGGGGAGGGGTAGTGAGCATATGTGTGTGTGGAGGGGAGGGGTGGTGAGCACGTGTGTGTGTGTGTGTGTGTGTGTGGAGGGGAGGGGTGGTGAGCACGTGTGTGTGTGTGTGGAGGGGAGGGGTGGTGAGCACGTGTGTGTGTGTGTGTGTGTGGAGGGGAAGGGTGGTGAGCACGTGTGTGTGTGTGTGTGTGTGTGTGTGGAGGAGAGGGGTGGTGAGCATGTGTGTGTGTGTGTGTGTGGAGGAGAGGGGTGGTGAGCATGTGTGTGTGTGTGTGTGTGGAGGAGAGGGGTGGTGAGCACGTGTGTGTGTGTGTGTGTGTGTGTGGAGGAGAGGGGTGGTGAGCACGTGTGTGTGTGTGTGTGTGGAGGAGAGGGGTGGTGAGCATGTGTGTGTGTGTGTGTGTGGAGGGAGGGGTGGTGAGCACGTGTGTGTGTGTGTGGAGGGGAGGGGTGGTGAGCACGTGTGTGTGTGTGGAGGGAGGGGTGGTGAGCACGCGCGTGTGTGGAGGGGAGGGGTGGTGAGCACGTGTGTGTGTGTGGAGGGGAGGGGTGGTGAGCACGTGTGTGTGTGTGTGGAGGGGAGGGGTGGTGAGCACGTGTGTGTGTGTGGAGGGAGGGGTGGTGAGCACGCGCGTGTGTGGAGGGGAGGGGTGGTGAGCACGTGTGTGTGTGTGTGGAGGGGAGGGGTGGTGAGCACGTGTGTGTGTGTGTGTGGAGGGGAGGGGTGTTGAGCACGCGTGTGTGTGTGTGTGTGTGGAGGGGAGGGGTGGTGAGCACGTGTGTGAGGAGGGGAGGGGTGGTGAGCACGTGTGTGTGTGTGTGTGGAGGGGAGGGGTGGTGAGCACGTGTGTGTGTGTGTGGAGGGGAGGGGTGGTGAGCACGTGTGTGTGTGTGTGGAGGGGAGGGGTGGTGAGCACGTGTGTGTGTGTGTGGAGGGGAGGGGTGTTGAGCACGTGTGTATGTGTGTGTGTGGAGGGGAGGGGTGGTGAGCACGTGTGTGTGTGTGTGGAGGGAAGGGTGGTGAGCACGTGTGTGTGTGTGGAGGGGAGGGGTAGTGAGCATATGTGTGTGTGGAGGGGAGGGGTGGTGAGCACGTGTGTGTGTGTGTGTGTGTGTGTGGAGGGGAGGGGTGGTGAGCACGTGTGTGTGTGTGTGGAGGGGAGGGGTGGTGAGCACGTGTGTGTGTGTGTGTGTGTGGAGGGGAAGGGTGGTGAGCACGTGTGTGTGTGTGTGTGTGTGTGTGGAGGAGAGGGGTGGTGAGCATGTGTGTGTGTGTGTGTGTGGAGGAGAGGGGTGGTGAGCATGTGTGTGTGTGTGTGTGTGGAGGAGAGGGGTGGTGAGCACGTGTGTGTGTGTGTGTGTGTGTGTGGAGGAGAGGGGTGGTGAGCACGTGTGTGTGTGTGTGTGTGGAGGAGAGGGGTGGTGAGCATGTGTGTGTGTGTGTGTGTGGAGGGAGGGGTGGTGAGCACGTGTGTGTGTGTGTGGAGGGGAGGGGTGGTGAGCACGTGTGTGTGTGTGGAGGGAGGGGTGGTGAGCACGCGCGTGTGTGGAGGGGAGGGGTGGTGAGCACGTGTGTGTGTGTGGAGGGGAGGGGTGGTGAGCACGTGTGTGTGTGTGTGGAGGGGAGGGGTGGTGAGCACGCGCGTGTGTGGAGGGGAGGGGTGGTGAGCACGTGTGTGAGGAGGGGAGGGGTGGTGAGCACGTGTGTGTGTGTGTGTGGAGGGGAGGGGTGGTGAGCACGTGTGTGTGTGTGTGGAGGGGAGGGGTGGTGAGCACGTGTGTGTGTGTGTGGAGGGGAGGGGTGGTGAGCACGTGTGTGTGTGTGTGGAGGGGAGGGGTGTTGAGCACGTGTGTATGTGTGTGTGTGGAGGGGAGGGGTGGTGAGCACGTGTGTGTGTGTGTGGAGGGAAGGGTGGTGAGCACGTGTGTGTGTGTGGAGGGGAGGGGTAGTGAGCATATGTGTGTGTGGAGGGGAGGGGTGGTGAGCACGTGTGTGTGTGTGTGTGTGTGTGTGTGTGGAGGGGAGGGGTGGTGAGCACGTGTGTGTGTGTGTGGAGGGAAGGGTGGTGAGCACGTGTGTGTGTGTGGAGGGGAGGGGTAGTGAGCATATGTGTGTGTGGAGGGGAGGGGTGGTGAGCACATGTGTGTGTGTGTGTGTGTGTGTGTGGAGGGGAGGGGTGGTGAGCACGTGTGTGTGTGTGTGGAGGGGAGGGGTGGTGAGCACGTGTGTGTGTGTGGAGGGGAGGGGTGGTGAGCACGTGTGTGAGGAGGGAGGGGTGTTGAGCACGTGAGTGTGTGGAGGGGAGGGGTGGTGAGCACGTGTGTGTGTGTGGAGGGGAGGGGTGGTGAGCACGTGTGTATGTGTGTGTGTGTGTGTGAGGAGGGGAGGGGTGGTGAGCACGTGTGTGTGTGTGTGTGGAGGGGAGGGGTGGTGAGCACGTGTGTGTGTGTGTGTGGAGGGGAGGGGTGGTGAGCACGTGTGTGTGTGGAGGGGAGGGGTGGTGAGCACGTGTGTGTGTGTGGAGGGGAGGGGTGGTGAGCACGTGTGTGTGTGTGGAGGGGAGGGGTGGTGAGCACGTGTGTGTGTGGAGGGGAGGGGTGGTGAGCACGTGTGTGTGTGGAGGGGAGGGGTGGTGAGCACGTGTGTATGTGTGTGTGTGTGTGTGAGGAGGGGAGGGGTGGTGAGCACGTGTGTGTGTGTGTGTGGAGGGGAGGGGTGGTGAGCACGTGTGTGTGTGTGTGTGGAGGGGAGGGGTGGTGAGCATGGGTGTGTGTGTGGAGGGGAGGAGGTGGTGAGCACGTGTGTGTGTGTGGAGGGGAGGGGTGGTGAGCACGTGTGTATGTGTGTGTGTGTGTGTGTGTGGAGGGGAGGGGTGGCGAGCACGTGTGTGTGTGTGTGTGGAGGGAGGGGTGGTGAGCACGTGTGTGTGTGTGTGGAGGGAGGGGTGGTGAGCACGTGTGTGTGTGTGTGTGGAGGGAGGGGTGGTGAGCACGTGTGTGTGGAGGGGAGGGGTGGTGAGCACGTGTGTGTGTGTGTGTGTGTGTGTGTGTGGAGGGAGGGGTGGCGAGCACGCGCGTGTGAGGAGGGGAGGGGTGTTGAGCACGTGTGTGTGTGTGTGGAGGGGAGGGGTGGTGAGCACGTGTGTGTGTGTGGAGGGGAGGGGTGGTGAGCATGTGTGTGTGTGTGTGTGTGTGTGTGTGGAGGGAGGGGTGGCGAGCACGCGCGTGTGAGGAGGGGAGGGGTGTTGAGCACGTGTATGTGTGTGTGGAGGGGAGGGGTGGTGAGCATGTGTGTGTGTGTGGAGGGGAGGGGTGTTGAGCACGTGTATGTGTGTGTGGAGGGGAGGGGTGGTGAGCACGTGTGTGTGTGTGAGGAGGGGAGGAGGTGGTGAGCATGTGTGTGTGTGGAGGGAGGGGTGGCGAGCACGCGTGTGTGAGGAGGGGTGGGGGTGGTGAGCACACGCATGTGTGTAGCAGAGGTGGCACCCTCTTACCTTGTTCCAGGTAATGACCGGCTCAGGCTCCCCTTGGGAGCTGCACGGGAGCTGGACATTGCTGCCCACTTCGACAGTCATGTCCCTGGGAATGCTGGCAAACACCGGGGTGACTGGAAGGCAAGACAGTTATCAGCGCCACTAGTGACACCCCAAAAGCTGAGAGCAGAAGGGGCTTTCCTGCCTCCCGGAAGCCTGTGCCGAGTCGAGGGCCTCAGGGACAAGAGGTGACCTGTTGCCCTGTGCCAGCCCCGAAGCCCCTCCTGCCCTGGGCTCCAACACCAGCAGTGTCAGTGGACAAGGCTGAGGCGCGCTCTGCCGGGGTCTGTGGGAGCCTGGGGGCGGGCAGCGGCATTAGGATGGCCAGCCGTGGCCAGTCGTCGAGGGGACACAGCTCCAGGGAGCAGGGGGCCTCAGGCCCCTTCAGGAATTGTTTCCGGGGCAGGTTACATCCCAGACAAGGGAGGACAGGGACAGGCTGGTAAACCTGACACAGAGCCTCGCCTGGGGTTCCAAGGGCCCGCCCACCCGCGGGCTTGCCTGCCGCTCATGGCCTGTTTCCACGCCTCCAGCACCACACTCAGGGCCTGCCGGCCAGGACACCCTCACTTCCCGGGGGACGGGGGCTCAGGCAGGGGAGACTCAGAGAGGCTAGGCCGCAAAGGCCCACAGGAGGCCCACACCACTGAGGCCCACACCGCTGCGCTGAGCAGCCGACCTATGGAGCCACTAGGAACGCATTGGCAGCACCCTTCTCTCAAGTGAGCCTCAGTCACCAGGAGAAAAGCGACGGGCCTGATCTAACAAGCCGGCGTCCTGGGGCTCTGTGCGTCTCCATCACAGGATAAACACGGGTAAAGCGCTGACCAGCACCTGGACCCCTTGGGAATACAAGTGCAGCCATGACAAACGCTGCACCATGTGACACTCAGTCGCTGGTGTGCAGTCCCAGCAGGACACCAGACCTGAGCAAACCGAGCCAGCGCCTACCTCTGGGCTGCACGAGCAGGTGAGCCACGACCTTCTGAGAGCCGATGATGTTGACCGCCTGGCACTCGTACTGGCCCTGGTCGTGGGGGGCGACCCCGGAGATCCTGAGCGTGCCGGAGGACAGCACCAGATGCCGTCTGTCCACCGAGAGCGGGCTCCCTAGGGACACGGGACACATGAAACAGGGCCACCTGTGCGCAACAGGGACACCTTTAAACCAGACACAGGCACCGTGGGGCTGGAGAGAGAGGGGCGCTGGCATCCAGGGACCATCCTACTTCCAAGGATGGAGGTACCCTACAGCCTGAGCTTTGCGTATCAGGATGCCAACCAATGACCGCTCCTCGGCCACCCCAACGGATGCCCCCAAGGGGCCATGAAGATTTCCCATCAGCTGACGTGGGAGGGGTGAACCCTGTGCCCAGTGACTCCCAGAGGGACACAGCAGACACTAAGCTGAGGAAGGCCAGGACGGCGTAGGCACTGCAGCTCCAAGGGGCTGGGGGCAAGCTGGGGCTGGACCTGAGCTGGGCTGGACCTGAGCTGGGCTGGACCTGAGCTGGGCTGAAGCTGAGCTGGGGCTGGACCTGAGCTGGGGCTGGAGCTGAGCTGGGCTGGAGCTGAGCTGGGCTGGAGCTGAGCTGGGCTGGACCTGAGCTGGGGCTGGAGCTGAGCTGGGCTGGAGCGGAGCTGGGCTGGAGCTGAGCTGGGCTGGAGCTGAGCTGGGCTGGAGCTGAGCTGGGCTGGAGCGGAGCTGGGCTGGAGCGGAGCTGGGCTGGAGCGGAGCTGGGGCTGGAGCTGAGCTGGGGCTGGACCTGAGCTGGGCTGGACCTGGGCTGGGGCTGGACCTGAGCTGGGGCTGGACCTGAGCTGGGCTGGACCTGAGCTGGGGCTGGACCTGAGCTGGGCTGGACCTGAGCTGGGCTGGAGCTGAGCTGGGCTGGAGCTGAGCTGGGCTGGAGCTGAGCTGGGCTGGAGCTGAGCTGGGCTGGAGCTGAGCTGGGCTGGAGCGGAGCTGGGCTGGAGCTGAGCTGGGCTGGACCTGAGCTGGGCTGGAGCTGAGCTGGGCTGGACCTGAGCTGGGGCTGGACCTGAGCTGGGCTGGAGCGGAGCTGGGCTGGACCTGAGCTGGGGCTAGACCTGAGCTGGGCTGCTCCGTCCTGGAAGCCAGTGCCCCATGCAGCGTTTGGCCCTCATCTGTGAGTGGACTTCCTACAGCCTCTGAAGGGGTGGACGCCGCAGGCACTCCGGTGGAAGGTCGGCCTGTTCCTTGTTTGTTTCCCGTAGGAGCCAGCACGGCCGGATCCGCAGCTTACCGCCTTTGGTCCAGGCGATGACAGGCTGGGGATGTCCCTTCGCCTCACACGGGAAGTCAACGGTCTGACCCTCCGTCACCACCCTGTTCCCTGGCGTCACAGTAAACTGAGGAAGCGCTGTGTGAAAACATTCCATTTAGGAACAGCATGAGGTAAAAATGCCACACAAGCAACAGGACACTAGTGCTTGACACCTACAAGCAACTCAGAAAAAAAAAGGGCGAAGGGGGCTGAAAATATGCCAAGAACGGTGTTTCCCTGTCACCACGCAAACGCTCACGTGCACAGCAGAGGCAGTGGGCCGAGACTGTGGTAGAGGTGACAGAGATGGACACCACCCCATCCGCAGCAACAGGTGCGAGTACCAACGAGTCAGCTGGTGTCTACAGGGACAGATGTCATCACTACTGCACAAGCGACACAAGAGGCCAGCCAGGAGGCCATCTGGGTAAACGCAACAAGCACAAAAAGGAAAGCTCACTGCGTGGCTGCGTGGCTGGTGAGAAGGAAAGTGTGCAGACAGACGCCCTCCAGCGGCTGGGTGAGGCTGGGTGGGAAGGGGGCGGCCTCCCGCCCTGATGCTCTACTCTGTGCAGACAGACGCCCTCCAGCGGCTGGGTGAGGCTGGGTGGGAAGGGGGCGGCCTCCCGCCCTGACGCTCTACTCTGCATCGCGGAGAGACTAAACACACGGCTCAATGAGAAACTGTCCTAGAGTCACCAAAAGGTACGCTAAGCAATACAGAAAGACACCGCAAAGATGTAAAAATAAAACCTATCACAAAAATAAAACCTGCCAGAACTCTGGGTCTAAAACTCACCCAAGAACTTGCTCAGAGCTGCGGGCACGATGCACATGCAGTTCCCACCCCAAGACCTCAGGGCACACTCACAGCCGTCTCCATCATGTACACCCTGACACACAACCACCACGACCTCAGGATGCACTCACAGCCATCAACATCGTGTATACACTGACACACAACCACCACGACCTCAGGATGCACTCACAGCCGTCTCCATCATGTACACCCTGACACACAGCCACCACGACCTCAGGATACACTCACAGCCATCTTCATCATGTACACCCTGACACACAACCACCACGACCTCAGGATGCACTCACAGCCGTCTCCATCACGTACACACTGACACACAACCACCACGACCTCAGGATGCACTCACAGCCGTCTCCATCATGTACACCCTGACACACAACCACCGTGACCTCAGGACACACTCACAGCCGTCTCCATCGTGTACACCCTGACACACAACCACCACGACCTCAGGATACACTCACAGCCGTCTCCATCATGTACACACTGACACACAACCACCACGACATCAGGATACACTCACAGCCATCAACATCATGTACACCCTGACACACAACCACCACGACCTCAGGATACACTCACAGCCGTCTCCATTGTGTATACACTGACACACAACCACCACGACCTCAGGATACACTCACAGCCATCTCCATCGTGTACACCCTGACACACAACCACCACGACCTCAGGGTGCACTCACAGCCGTCAACATCATGTACACCCTGACACACAACCACCACGACCTCAGGATACACTCACAGCCGTCAACATCATGTACACCCTGACACACAACCACCGTGACCTCAGGAGACACTCACAGCCGTCTCCATCATGTACACACTGACACACAACCACCACGACCTCAGGATACACTCACAGCCGTCAACATCATGTACACCCTGACACACAACCACCGTGACCTCAGGATACACTCACAGCCGTCAACATCATATACACCCTGACACACAACCACCATGACCTCAGGGTGCGTTCCCAGCTCTGCTCAGGCAGAATGGCTGTCAATTCAGGGATCTATGTGCAGACTCTCACGCACACTAGGAGCCTAGTGCTCTGGACTCCATGCCCAGCGCCAGGCTCATCTTCCAGACAAACTTGATCAGAGCGTGCGTCATCAACTATCAGGAAGGGGGTGCTAAGGGCAAAGGGTGCTAAGGGTGCTGAGGAGACCCGGGAGTGGACCCGGGGCCAGCCTGGCGCTGGGCCGCCCACGCTGGGACTCACCCTGCACGATGATGAGGGCCGTGGCGTGGATGTTCTCAGCCCCGTTGGAGGCAAAGCAGGTGTACTCCCCACTGTCGTCCTGTACGACCTTCTGTATGTACAGGCCCCCGGAGGAGGTGATGTTCACCCGCGGGTCGGCCGGCAACGGGGACCGGTCACCCCTGGTCCAGGTGATCTGTGGCTGAGGGTGGCCGGTAGCACTACATTCCAGGGTGACACTCTCGCCCACCAGCACCTCTGTGTTCTGAGGCTGGATTACAAAAGCCAGCCGGGCTGTCACAAACAGAAATTCCCAGTTACTCCTCCGGCTTCACAAGCTCTGAGGGTTATTTTCTGTACTCAGGTTACTTTCACTCTGCATTCCTCCAAACTGAGCAGAGCAAACATAATTTAATTCCGTGCATTCCTAAATTTTCACTCCATTTTTAAAGGAGAGGAACATGTAGACGGTAAACACGATTCACATACTAAGACCACACAGACAGCAGCCTGTGAGAAGTGTGCACCAAAAGTAAGCGGAGACTCTAAGAACCTTATTTGTTTTCATACGTATGTCAGTTCTGTTAACCCTTGGCAGCTGGGCCTTGTGGCACACAACGCGGTCTGTTAGGCAGACAGGGACGGGACTGAGTGGAGAAGGAAGAGAGACAGAAGACAGACTTTGCTGCATCTTTTTATACCTGACGATGTTTAAGTTGTATTATTCAAGTATCTAAATACTTATTAAAAATACAGACGCAGGGGCTGGGAAGGTGGCTCAGTAGAGTGCTTGCCTTGCATGCCTGAGGCCCTGGGTTCGATTCCTCAGCACCACATAAGCAAAAAAAAGTTGGAAGTGGCACTGTGGCTCAAGTGGTAGAGCGCTAGCCTTGAGCTGAAGAGCTGAGGGACAGCGCCCAGGCCCAGAGTTCAGGCCCCAAGACCGGACCCAAAAAAAAAAATACAGACGCAACATTTCATTTAGTGTCATCATTTTTACCAGACCGACAGGCTAAATTCTCTGAAGCCAAGTTACTCAGAGAGGAACACAGCCAAAGTGAACTCTGCAGAATCCGGTCTTCAATTTTGACTTGAAGGAGCCTTAGGACCCAGAGGAGATAAGCTCAGAAGCCCCCCACAAGGGGCCCGATTGAAAACTGCAGCGGGGCCCAACACTGATGTCAGACCTGCACCCCTGCCGTTACTGAGGAAAAGAACTGGAGAGCAGGCTGACGGCCGGCCTGACGCGATGGGGAGAAATTCTCGTGATGCAGCACCCACCAGAGGCCACCAGCACGGCGCGACTGCCCCCGCCCTCACCCAACACACGCCCACCCAAGAGACAGCAGACCAGGGCCAAGTTAGAAAAGAATAACTCATTCTGCAGATTAAAAAACACGCAAACCCCCCAAATAGTACACTAGCCAAGTAAGACAAGAGAGAAAAATAAACACCGGACTGACACTGGAGTTCAGTAATTTCACAATACCTTGAAAGTTTTCTAAGACAGCTACTGAAACTTCCAAAACTGGTAGGAATTGGAAGATGAAAAACGAATAATTTTAATTATTTCAATGACCAAAAGTTTAATGCTGCAAGGAAATTAAAAACAGGCCTGCGTGTACCTGATAGAAGGTGGGTGTCGTCAGCTGGGTTTCCAGGTCCCGTCTGCCTGGACTCTGGGCAAGCCCTCCGGAGCAGGTCACAGGCCAGCTGCTCCCAGTACAACCCAGCTGGCCCTCACAGTACTCATTCTTCCGCTACACTGCCTGTGTCCCCAACTGCCAGGGGCCATAAATTCATCCACTACACTGCCTGTGTCCCCAACTGCCAGGGGCCATAAATTCATCCACTACACTGCCTGTGTCCCCAACTGCCAGGGGCCATAAATTCATCCACTACACTGCCTGTGTCCCCAACTGCCAGGGGCCATAAATTCATCCACTACACTGCCTGTGTCCCCAACTGCCAGGGGCCATAAATTCATCCACTACACTGCCTGTGTCCCCAACTGCCAGGGGCCATAAATTCATCCACTACACTGCCTGTGTCCCCAACTGCCAGGGGCCATAAATTCATCCACTACACTGCCTGTGTCCCCAACTGCCAGGGGCCATAAAGCATTGTTATTCTAATTTCTAACAGTCAACATGTAAATGTAAAAAATGTAACTCCAGGAAAAGAAAGCAGGTTTTTTCTTTTTTGTTTTCTTTGTATCTTGTCTGCTCATTTATCTGTCTTTGGAAGGGTCAGGGGCACAGAAATGGAGGGACAGAAGTATGCAGCAATGCTACTCAACGGACACTGCTGAAAATGAACTACACAACCTGTGGGTGGGAACGGGAGGGAAAACCTGGGAGAGAGCGAGGGACAGGGTGACACTGCCCAGAACGGCTTGTGTAACTACCGCTCTGCACATCTCCTTCTAATAACGAAGAAATAAAAACTAAACAAAAAGCATCAACATTTACAATGTCAAAATAAAATATGAAAGCTCTTCCTAAGGAGCCAGCCAGGCAGAGCGGGGAGGGCCAGGGCTGGCTGTTGGGGGTCGGGTGTGATGCGTACCCTCATCTGACTCAGGGCTGACTCTGCTTTGGGGGATACCAGGGCGGCCACGCTGACACCCCATGAGGCTGTGGGCCTCATGAGAAATAAAACATTCAGACCAAAGGGAGTAAAATGTGGAGCTCTGAGGCTCAGCGTCCCCCTCTGGGAAGCCATGCCCTGCTGGTGATAAACAATGTCCTGCCTGGGGGGGGGGGGGGGGGAGGGGAGCCCTTTGTCTGCGCGCACGCACACACACACACACTGCTGTCCTCAGCACTTCCCAAACTTTGTGGATCAGTTCAGTCCTAGGAGAAGTGCACAGGGCCTCTGTCCAAGGCCAGCTTTGCCTCTGTAGGCGCCGACGCACCGGCTCTCTGCCAAAAGGACACGGCAGCAGTACACATCCGATTCCTTCCGAATAAAGCTGACGGCTGGACATTCTGGCTGGCTAAAAAGTAGTCGCAGTGTCTAGGCCGGATGCACCGGAAGGCACAGGCCAGCGGTAAGAAGCCAGGGACCCAAACGCAGGACCAGGCCCACTGCCCTCAGCCTGAACATGAAATCCCAGGAAGCAAGAACCTGTGTAGGAAGGGCAGGCAGGCAGGAAGCCGGGCTGCAGAGGCAGAGCCCGAGCTGGCCCGGGTGGGAGGGACCTCAAGCCCAGCTGGGACCAGACAAGCCCGAGGCCACAGCTGGACAGCCAGGACTCAGACAAACAAGTTTAAAACTTAAGTGCCAACGTTTTAAACATGGCAGCTTTAAGTTTTAAACAATCAACACTACTGCCTTTTCCTAAGTAACGTCAGCCCTTGGCAAAAACCTCAAAGTCAAGGACACCAAGGGGCTGTGGCTGCGTGGATGCCCTGAGTGGGGGCCTGGCCGGGTCTGGCCGCATTCCCCAGCCCGCCTTCTGGGTCCCCAGACCCACGCTGTGGACCGGAGTGACACTGTGACTTCACCACCACCTCAGGAACAGCGCTGGCACAGCGGGGCTGTGTCACCTTGAGACTGCACCGAGTTACGGTGTGAGAAAAGCAGGAAGGGGAAGCCAAACACGTACCTGGAGACCCAGAGTACCTGAGGGTCACCTGCTGCGTCTTCGCCTCCCCGGCCACGTTCTTCGCCATGCACTGGTAAACGCCCTGATCGGCCTCCTGCGCATTCTCGATCATCAGGGTCCCGTCATCCAGCAGGTTTAGGCGTGAGTCTGTCTCCATGCTCAGCTCATTGCTACGGACACAGAAACCCGGCGTGTGCCAAGGTTCACGGCACAAGGACATGCCGCATTCACCCTGAGCCAGTCCTGGTTCCACACAGACCCAGACCTCGGGATGCAGTGGCCGGGCCGGAACCGAGGGCAAGGGGAGCTGTCTTCCTCCTCGCTGCCTGAGGGTTGGCGTGCACCCCCAGAGCATCCCCAGACACCCCCAGAGCATACCTAGACACCCCCAGAGCATCCCCAGACACCCCCAGAGCAACCCCAGACACCCCCAGAGCATCCCCAGAGCACCCCCAGAGCAGCTCCTAGGCAGCTGCCCTGTTATTTAACCCACACATCTACTTTTATTATGCCCATGTCCAGTCTACCTAAACGCTTCTTTTCACCCCTGGGGCCGGTGGTAGTAACACCGGGGCTTGAACCCAGGGCTTCCCTAGTGCCATTATTTGGCTTTGTAGCTGACACTCTACCACGTGAGCGGCAGCTTCACTCTAGCTTTTTGTCAGTGAATTGGAGATACGAGTCTCTTGGATTTGTCTGCTCCTGCTGACTCCAAACCTCAATCTCATATCTCAGCCTCCCAAATAGCTCAGATGATAGGTGTGAACCACTGGTACCGGCTACCTAAACGCTTCATGTAAACATGGTGCTGATTCCCAGGGGGAAAATAAACAGGAAAGAGAAAACTCCAAACGTTTTATTTCCACAAGTTATATAAAGTGGTAAACATTTTTATGTGTTACCAAAACAAGGAGCTCTCTAGAAACTGCCTGTACTCTTTAGGCAGGATCAGGCTGCCTAGGGACATGTGCCTGGAGCCTGCGAAGAGGTCAAGGGTCTCCCAGGCAGCTGTCACATGGAAGACAAGCTGTGCGACCCTTTTCTCCTTCATACCTCTCTGCCTGGGCAGAGAACAAGGCAGTGTGAGCGCCAGCAGCTCGGTGCTCACGGCCATCGATGCACTTGGACTTGGCGGCCGGCCCAGCCCAGCTCTGGCCCAGCGCCACTCACTTGTTGCGAAGCCAGATGATCTCGGGCTTGGGGTTGCCCTCGGCCTTGCAGGTGAAGTACGCAGTGGTCCCCGAGGTGACATCCACATCCTGGGGCTCTGACGTTATCCGGGGCCTCTCTGTTCCCAACAACCAAAGGGAAGCATGGTTCAGCCCGGCTGAGCACGGTGGAGGGTTCAGAGCGGATGCCAGCATGGGCTGGGGACGCAGCGCCCTCCTCAGCTCCGTCCCGGGGCCCGCCCGCCACCCCACGGGGCCCGCTCACCGCAGCTCAACTCCTCGGGGGTGATGGTGGCCACGGAGCGCCCCTGGATGCGTCTCGGGTACTCGCAGGTGGCCGCGGCCTGCGTGCTCCCTGACTGGGCGTAGGTCTTCAGCAGATCGGCTAGCCACAGGATCTCACAGTCGCAGTGAAGTGCATTCGAGTCCAGCCGCCTACAGGGAGAAGCAGCAGCAGCTTTGGGCACCCAAATTATGGTGTGGGGGAGGGGGAGATTGTTGTCAATTCATCCTGGAAAGACAGCCTTCCGGGCATGGGTCCACAGCCCTGGATCCCACCGGGGCCCAGCATGAGACAAGGTGGGTGTGAGGGTTCCAAGTGGTCCTGCCGGGCAGCAGGGGACAGCCAAGTAGTGTCCACAGAGACCCCTGGAGGGAGCACTCCCGAGACCCTAGCGCCAAGGCAGAGCTCAGGGTCGAGAAACAAAGGACACACACACTGGACAAGGCCTGGGAACCCGGGAAGACACATTCACAAAAGCCAGTCGCCAACCCCAGCTACACAGACTCTCGCGGGGCAGTGTGGGGCTCCACACCACCCCGGCCCTCCGAGGGCAGGACAGCTGGGCCACCTCTCCCAGGGGAGAGCCGCCCGGGAAGCCTGGCACAGGCTGGCCTTTCCCCACCTCAGAAAGATGGTAAGGACCGAGAGAGGAGCAGGAGCCCCAGCAGGCCCTGCGCGCTGGTGGGTGCGTGTGACCTGGACAGTGTGGGAGAGCCCCGAGGTCATTGCCAGCCCCCAACTGTGACCCAAACACGGGATCAAGAGGCTGAGGGGGCCTGTGTGCGGAGGAAGGGATCAAGGGGCCGCGGAGGCCCCGTGTGTGGAGGAAGGGATCAAGAGGCCGCGGAGAGTCTGAGAGTGCCCCACCAGGTCCACCCTCTGTGGCAGGTGCCCTGGGGAAGACCACCCCACACCTGCACTTGTCCCGAACACCCACAGCACAGGCCCGGCCCTGCTGCAGGGGTCAGCATCGTCTGACAAAAAGCCGGCTCCAGGCAGACTCAGCGTCCAGGCATGAGCAGACCCGCAGCCCACCACAGAGTGTCAAGGCCATAAAGGTCAGCACAGGGATGAAGACAAGTGGAGGAAGGCATTGAGCTGGGAATGTGGCTCAGGAGCAGAGAGCCTGGCATGCGTGGGGCCCTGGGTTCAATTCCGCAGTGCCACATCATCAAAACTAAGGGGGGAGGGCATCAGGTATGACAGCTGGAGCTCCATTCTGCCACTGGCACGCCGGGGCTGGGCAGCAGGAAGCCAGGGTGCGCTGAGCTGTCGTCACCCTCTGACTAAACCGAGCAAGGTGAAGCTGCGGGCAGCCAGCCCATCCCCACCCCCACCCTGGGCGGCCCCATTATCTTCTTCCTCCGACACGGAAGGTCCAGTCCACCTTCCCACCGAGAACGTGGGCCTCAGTGGAACTGATGGTGTCCAAAAAAATGAACCGTAAGTAGTTTTGACGGTCTACATCCTCACTGAAAAGATAAACCCAACCAAGCGACGGGGCTGATGACTCTGACTGCCTCCTGAGTCTAGTTTATCACACACACCCAATATTCCAGAGACACCTAACTGGAAAAAAAAGTGCCGTTGAGACCATGAAACCTAGCAGGGATGCCACCCTCTCCCAGCTGGACGGAAATGCGACTGCTATCGTAAGGGTTACTCAGTGGGAAATGGCTGCTGCTCTGGGGGATTGAGTCTGCTGCAGTGTGCTTGGAATAGAAGATTCTTTTCATGCTGGATTTTATTCTCCCTACACAAATGTGTATTTCAGAACTAAAATGGTAATGGGAGGAATTCCAGCACATTTTAAACGTCACGGCCACCTCTGAGTCCTGCCTGCTGGGCTGGGCTGGGCTGGGCTGGGCTGGGCTGGACAGCGGGACATGGGGGTCTGATTCCTTCCCGGCCGCCTTCCATAGTGCTCTCTGAGGGCTGGGGGAGGAGACGCGATCGTGACATCCACATTACACTATCTCGCTGAAAACCCAAGACAGACGCCCTGCGGTACAGGGCTGCTCCTGGGAGCCAGCCAGTCCTCCCGTGGGCCAGGCTGGCTGTGGGCAGAGCCCCCCCACAGAGCAGCCAGGAGGGATGGGCAGAGCCCCCCACAGAGGGGCCAGGAGAGGCAGGCAGAGCCCCCCACAGAGCAGCCAGGAGAGGCGGGCAGAGCCCCCCACAGAGCAGCCAGGAGGGGCGGGCAGAGCCCCCCACAGAGCGGCCAGGAGGGGCGGGCAGAGCCCCCCACAGAGCGGCCAGGAGGGGCGGGCAGAGCCCCCCACAGAGGGGCCAGGAGGAGCGGGCAGAGCCCCCCCACAGAGCAGCCAGGAGGGATGGGCAGAGCCCCCCACAGAGCAGCCAGGAGGGATGGGCAGAGCCCCCCACAGAGCAGCCAGGAGAGGCGGGCAGAGCCCCCCACAGAGCAGCCAGGAGGGATGGGCAGAGCCCCCCACAGAGCAGCCAGGAGGGGCGGGCAGAGCCCCCCACAGAGCGGCCAGGAGGGGTGGGCAGAGCCCCCCACAGAGCAGCCAGGAGAGGCGGACAGAGCCCCCCACAGAGGGGCCAGGAGGGGCGGGCAGAGCCCCCCACAGAGCAGCCAGGAGGGGCGGGCAGAGCCCCCCCACAGAGCAGCCAGGAGGGATGGGCAGAGCCCCCCACAGAGCGGCCAGGAGGGGTGGGCAGAGCCCCCCACAGAGCGGCCAGGAGGGGCGGGCAGAGCCCCCCACAGAGCAGCCAGGAGGGGTGGGCAGAGCCCCCCACAGAGCGGCCAGGAGGGGCGGGCAGAGCCCCCCACAGAGCGGCCAGGAGGGGCGGGCAGAGCCCCCCACAGAGCGGCCAGGAGGGGTGGGCAGAGCCCCCCACAGAGCGGCCAGGAGGGGTGGGCAGAGCCCCCCACAGAGCAGCCAGGAGGGATGGGCAGAGCCCCCCACAGAGCGGCCAGGAGGGATGGGCAGAGCCCCCCACAGAGGGGCCAGGAGGGGCGGGCAGAGCCCCCCACAGAGGGGCCAGAGCCCCCCACAGAGCAGCCAGGAGGAGCGGGCAGAGCCCCCCCACAGAGGGGCCAGGAGGGATGGGCAGAGCCCCCCACAGAGCGGCCAGGAGGGATGGGCAGAGCCCCCCACAGAGCAGCCAGGAGGGGCCGGCAGAGCCCCCCCCACAGAGCAGCCAGAGCCCCCCCACAGAGCCACCAGGGTCTTACTTACAGCCGTTTCATGGACTCCAGGTGGTTAAAGGTCCCCTGTACAAGATGTGTGATCCGGTTGTTATGTAAAAATCTGTTCCAAGAGAAAAACACAACAGGCCACTCTTAGAAAACACTTTTCCAGACTCAAGGACACGAGGCCACGTAAGCGGTCACACGCCCAGCATTTTTTCAAAGTGTCTGTGAGTTAGAGTTAATACAAATGAACGTTTTGAAAGTAAGGCTCTTCCCCCCAGAAAACAACTAGGACTTTTTTCCTGTTTAGTCTTAGGCCAAGCCCCACTGCTGACGGTTGGGCTAGGGGAGTTGTGCACAAACAGAGGCTGGTACTCGGCCTGTCTTCATCGATGGGCAGCGTGGGCAGGACCCCCCTCACAAAATGCGAAGTAAGACGGACTCACAGCCTCTCCAGCTTCGGTAAGCGCTGAAATGACTCTGGGTCCACAGTTTCTATCTGGTTAAAATGTAGGTATCTAGGAGTTTAAAAGAGACACGTCATGTAAGCAGTGTGATGGTTTCTCAGGTCTGCATGTTCTGCTTTAAAAACCTTTCCTGACCCTGGAAATCGCTACATTCCCTATCCCTGAGCAAAAGACAAGCGAAAGCCCTTCAGGAAGACGGGACACAACCGAAGACGTCACAGCACGGGAGCCGTGGGTCCACAAGACCCCGCATCCAGCAGCCAGCAGAGGCCCAACCTGACACACTCGCCTCTGAAACACTCAGCACCTCAAAAGGACAGCGCCGACACAGCCGTGACGTCAGCCTCTATATCGTCTTACAACAGCCGTGCTTCGCTCTTCCGCTGGCTTGCGGGAGCCCTAACCTTAACGCAGCCCTATGACCAGGCTCAGCAGAGGCAAAAGACAGCGTGCCCTCGGGGCCTGCTCACAAGACGCCAGCTTACGCTTCCTCCCGTGTGCCCCATTACGTCCCACAATTCATGCATCTTTGGTGTAACTCATCTCTTCTAATTCTACAGCTTCTCCCTTTCAGAACACAGGGATGCTTTCAAGGCCATGCCTTCTGGGGGGCGTCAGCGGACGCCCCACTCAAGAGGGTCTTCCAGAGGGTGGTCCCCGAGATAAGGAAATGCTCCTTCCTCCACAAGCGGCTGTGACCAAAACCACCAGCAGAGCCGACACCCAGCAGTACCAGGCTCTGCGCACAACTGCAAGCGAGAGTGTCCCAGACAGGCTCAGTCGCCGCTTAGACTGGCTCTGAAATGATGAAAGGTCCCAAACTCAAGCTCCTTCCCCTGGGCAGGGCCCGCCGGTCCCTCAGGGCCACCGCCAGCAGGCCAGCAGCCACCACTGGGTTTGGCACAGCACCTCCCTGACTTGGGGTGTCTGCACCCACCTTCTTCTACTTGAGAAAACAAAGCAAGGCAAGCAGAAAGAGGAAGGCACGGAGGCCACTGATCTCCCAGGACATCTGACCTGAAGGTCTCAAAGTGGGTAAGACCACGCAGAAACCCTCAGTTTCCATCCCCAGAACCTGGGTCTGTGCCAGGCATATGCGGACAGATAACACGTGGCCCAGACGCAGACACCACCAGGGAGCGGCCAGGGAAGGCTCTGGCTGGCCAGGAAAGCCGAGAGCCGGGCTGGAAGAATGAGCTGAGGCCGGCAGAGGAAAGCAGGGGCGCTGACGTCTGTCTCTAAGGTGGCAGCTCAGGACTGTACGGTGAGCCTGGCAGGCAGGAGGAGCCAGCGGGGCCTGGAGTCCTGCCTGAAGAAGCACAGGTCTTGGTAGCCACTCCCCGGACAGCTCAGCAAAGCTGCACAGGAGCAGGAGCTGCCAGGCCCCAGCTGTGGCGGCGGCCAGGCCCCAGCTGCTGCGGAGATGCTCAGGGGCCCAGTGGATCCAGCATGGCTTCACAGACCCCACCCTCTACTTCAGGGCCTTGCGCTGTGCTGCCCACCTTCCCCTGCGGGAGGCAAGGACGCAGACAAGAACACAAGCGTGAGCAAGGAGGCAGGTAAGGAGCAGACAAGGATGCGGGAAAGGACACACATCTAGATGGAAGGCTGCAGAGATGCTCTGTGCCGGGACAGGCCAAGACTGACAAACGTCAGGGACTGCAGGTGCGCCTCCCACGTGCTGTTGGCGGCCTGCTTTTGTCCCCTAAATGCACTGCAGGATTCTTAAACGGAGCAGAGAGCCGGCTCCCGACTGGGACTCTCCAGCTGCTATCCCATGGCAGCGTCCACCTCCCGGAGCAAACGGCCCGTCGCCACCAGCCCACACCACTCACTGAGCCACGCGGCCCCTCTTCCGCCCACTTGTCCCAACTGTGTCCCTCCACTGGACTTGCAGCCTGGCTGAAGATGGCCCCCAGGCACCAGAACCTTGCTGACACAAGAGCCGTTTCTCCACAAAGCCTCCTCCATGTGTGCAGTCCTCTAGATAGTTCCATGGGTCTCTGCCGTGGCGTGAAGCTTGCTTCTGTCTGAGACAGTTCTACAGTAACTGCAAATTCTCACGCATGCTCAGTCACTACCCAGCAAGCAGAGCGGAAGCTAAGCACTTGGACACGTAAATAATGTGTTGAGCACAGGCTCACAGCGTGCGTCCTGGGCACGGGGCACCGGGGTGGGCCTGGGACTGGGCTGGCCCCTCTCCTGACTGCTGTACCCAGACTCCAGGGAAACAGAGACTCAGAGCAGAAGGCTGACGTCCTCCTGCACAGAACCCCACAGGTCTCTCCTCAGGTGTGAGGAAGGCTGTCAGGAAACCCACAGAAGACCTTCACGCTTTTAACAGAACTTCGTATTTAAACAAAAAACATGCTGACTTCATAGAGAAGAACGGCGTCAGATGCACAGGCGCAGGCACAGCAATTAGTCACACACATTTACTGCATGGTGGGGAAAGCTGTGCTTTCCCCAGACACTGACATACTGGGCGAAGAAATGAAACTCTGAGTGCAGAGTGAGCATCCCAGTCTCTCACCCACGGAGACCCAGGGGCCCTGGCCACGCCCGGACTCCATCATCCTTGCACGTCTGTCTCATGCACCGTGACAACCACACTGTTTCTGTGGGGCAGATGGGCTGATCCTCCTGCTCCTGGGCTGGTGTATGCGAGGCCCAGGGTCTGGGGCACAGAGGACACAGCTTCCCTGCTACTCGGTGACGCTGGCCCCGGTGCCAGGTCAGACATGCCACGCGTCCTCCCTACCCCGGGCGGCTCCGACATGCACCATGCAAAGAGCAGGCCTGGCCCACTCTCCCTGCGGAGGCGGAGGGCAGGTGACACCCAAGAGCTGAGGCACGGCGGGAAGGGGCACTTACAGTTGCTCTAGAGAGGTAAGTCCCTTAAACGCTTGCCTGTCAATTGACTGGATTTCATTCTTGTACAAATAGCTGCAAGAAGAAACATGGAGGGTGTTAGCGCACACAGGAGAGGCCGCGGCTCCCATGGAGAAAAAGAATCTGTTGACACAATTGGCGACTGCATTAGGGGGCAAACAACACATCGGGCTGAGCACAGTGCTGCTCACAAACCTCCTCCTCTCTGCCTGCACCATAAGTCGGGCAAAAGCGGCCGGTCCAACCTAGGTGACCGACAGTGCCGCTGCCAGGTACACACAGACTGGCCCGCCGTGGCTGGCAAGCTCCCCGGACACGTTTGCTTCCAACCCTGGAGAAAATAAAACCATCTCCCCACATCCACCGTAAGACGCCGCTGCCGAGCCAGCACAGCCCCAAATTAATTCAGAAACAGGACCAGGCTGTGGCTCAGGTGGTAGAACACCAGGCTAGCAAGCTCCAGGCCCTGATTTAACCAAAAAAGAAAAAAAAAATCCAGAAATAATTAGCAGGACAGACAACAGAGTCTGAAATGCCTTGAAATGCTCCCACTGGCACCTCATACAACAGAAGCAGCGAGGCCTCGTCAGGAGGAACATGCCAGGGCCAGGCACCAGTAACTCACGCCTATAATCCCAGCTACTCAGGAGGCTGAGATCTGAGGACAATGGTTCAAAGCCAACTTGGGCAGGAAACACCATGAGACTCATCTCAAAGAAGCTACTCAAAAAAGCCAGAAGTGGCGCTGTGGCTCAAGTGGTAGGGCGCTCACCTTAGGCAAAAGAAGCCCCAGGACCCACAAAAAAAAACAAAAACAAACAAAGAAGAGTAACAAGTCAGGGCCAAGTATGGATGGCTGAGTTCCCCCCTTCCAGAACAGAAAGGCATTGTGGCTCATGCCTGTAGTGCAGTTATTCAGAATGCAGAGGCGGGGGGTTCAGTCTGAGGTGTGCCCAGGCCAGAATGAGATCATATCTGAAAAACAAACTAACAGCATAAGGACGGAGGTTGGCCCAAGTAAGAGTGCTTTGTGCAGCCAGGATAAGGCCCTGAGTTGTTTTAAAAAAGAGAGAGAGAGGGCTGGGAAGGTGGCTCAGTAGAGTGCTTGCCTTGCATGCCTGAGGCCCTGGGTTCGATTCCTCAGCACCACATAAGCAAAAAGAAAAGAAGCCGGAAGTGGCGCTGTGGCTCAGGTGGTAGAGCGCTAGCCTTGAGCTGAAGAGCTGAGGGACAGCGCCCAGGCCCAGAGTTCAGGCCCCACAACCGGACCCAAACAAAAAAAAAAAAAAGAGAGAGAGAGAGAGAAAGCCACATGTCCCACTAGGTCTGCTTTTGTCTAACCTGCGAACTACAAACAGACTTATATTACTAAGTGGGTGAAGTTGTCAGAACAAGACCAATACTTTATGACTGCAGGAGATTCCTTTTCCAAGGCCTCGGTAGGCTGTTCTTGGAACACAACCTCCCTCATGGCCCCTGGGTAGTTTCTGGTGCCTCTGTGCTGCATGGACAACTGAGCAGCCTGGTCCTGTGCAGAGAAAGCTCCAGAGTCCTGCACAAACCTAGCATACAAGTGAAGAGACACTGCAAAGCACCCTAGTTCCAGAAGGAACATGGGTAGGTGTGGCTGGGGGCCAGGGGCTCACGCCTGTAATCCTAACTAGATCTGAAGATCCAGGCTCAAAGCCTCGTCAGAGCAAAAGTCCATGAGACTCTCCAAAATTATCAAAGAGCCACAAGTGGAGCTATCGCTCAGATAGGAGGGCACCAGCTTTGAGCAAAAAGGCCAGGGACAGCACCTAGGCACTGAGTTCAAGCCCCAGGACTGGCACGCATACATACATGCACCCATGTGCACGCACATGCAAGCACGCACACACATGCCACACGCACACACACGTGTGCACACACACAGAGGTGGGTGTATGAGCTGAACTTTGCTGCACAGCGGATCCCTGTGACACTGGGGCTGGTAACAGGTTCCCACCTTGATACAGAGGACCTGCCTCACTCTTCGTGGACCCACTGGGCCTTCTCTCACAGGAGGAAGACCTGCCAGTCGGATCCACGCTTTCCTGCACGGCCACGTCAGGCCGGCACTGTGCCACCTGGTGGCGTGTCCGTGAGGCTACTCTCCTGAGTGAGCAGCCCTGTCTCAGCCCTGTCCTACGGACCCAAGCATGAGCTCTGTGCAGCCCTGAACTCTGGTTGCAGGCCCGGTTTCCCTCCTTGCCCCGGCTCGGGCCCCTTCTCCTCGCTGGCTCTAGGCCTTCCCTATGTCCCACCTCCTTCCTCTGTAATTGCTGGCAACATGAAAGAGCTACGAACCCTACTACAAATGGCCAGGTACACCCCACCTGTGATCAACGGCCAGGGCCCTCACGAAGCCAGGAGGGGCCTTCAATTCTCCAGGCTGTTTCACTTCTGCTTGCTATGTGACTCTGGAGCCTTGGTTTCTTCCATAAATGGACAGGTGCTGGTAATGAAGTTAGTGAGTACAGAGCTTCTAGGATATGGCATTGCTGCTCAGGCCTCCCTGGGCCCCGTGGCTCCACAGGTCTGAGCCATCCAGCAGGGTCTGAGCTCACTTCCTGAAGCAAAGCGCAGCACCAAGGAGACCCCGCACGCCCTTCTAAAAAGGGAGTAATAGCTGGGCGCCGGTGGCTCACACCTGTAATCCTAGCTACTCAGGAGGCTGAGATCTAAGGATCACGGTTAAAGCCAGCCTGGGCAGGAAAATCTGTGAAACTCTTATCTCCAGTAAACCACCAGAAAACCGGAAGTGGCGCTGTGGCTCAAGTGGTAGAGTACTCGCCTTGAGCTGAAGAGCTGAGGGACAGCACCCAGGCCCAGAGTTCAAGCCCCACGACCAACAACAACAACAAAAAAGCGGGGGGGGGGGGGGGTAATAGAATCCTTTGGAAGAATATGTAAACAAGTAAATCCAATACAGATGCGTTTTTCAGACATTGGTGGTGGGATGCTTGTTTATCACAGGCTGAGCTCTGGGTTCTACCCCCAGCACTACAAAATTTAAAAATAAAACAGTAAGTAAAAAAGTAGTCCTATTTCATAATAATAGTGATGCTACAATAGAGAGTTACAAGTCATTATAACTCCCTTTGTCGCAGAGTTGAATCTTGCCTACAAGTTCAGTGGCAATAATTCTATCGTCAGGATATAGGAATTCAAGGGAAGGCTGCTGAGGTTTCCATGAAAGGTTCCCGACTTCCAGGAACGTAACTTTGGCACTGACCTAACGCGTAGGGCTGAAATGATGATAAATTGGAGGCAAGTCACTGAACATTGAACATACTCTTCAATGGCTGTGCAAGGCTATTCAGCCAAGGACCCCAAGTGACTGGGAGAAGAAATCAGGCCCTGCATGTGGAGGGCGGCTCCGCCCTGGGCACTAGCCTGCCTCCCACACCTCCTTTACCAACACCTTCACCCCACCCCTGCAGCCCATCTCACAGACTCCACCTGGGAGGGAAAGAAGAGGCCTGAGCACCCATGCTAAAGGGTGCTAGGTAGTACTTAAGTGAGATTGGGAGGAACAGCACTCCACACTGCCTAATGCTGAGCATGTCTTCATACCCTCCATCTTAGGTAAAACCAAGAACAAAAAGTAGGGTTAAAAGTACAAGTACACACACACACATGCACACATGCATGCACACACACACACACACACACACACACACTCCCCACAGGCTTAGCTGTCAGCTAACTGTGCTGATTTTCCAGGAAATGAGAGCTCCCTTTCAGAGCTGGCATGGTAATTAAAAATAACAGCAACCTAAGATTAAAAGCTCAAAGGAGATCTTTCCTGTCCCTCATTGGAAAAATTACTAATATACATACAGCATTAAAATATCAGCATTCTATTCCAAAGACGGGAAAGGGACTTGACACATATGTTTCATTAAGGAAAATACATTTTTTATACCAGTTAGAGGTAATCTTATAATTGGGAATCACTGACACCTAATACCAAAACAGATTCCAAATACATATCCACACAACCTAACTGCTTTTAAACTCAGCCTGTAGTTGTAGCTGAGTTACAGCACTCACAGAGTGACTGATGCAAACCCTTCATTAAAATGGCTCACTTTGGACCATTAGTCTTAAAAGGAAGAGCAATTTGCTGAAACCAAGTAACAGGACTTCTAACCTATCCAGACCCAGGATGCCACCCGGGCAAGACCAGCGTTTCCCTCTGCAGAAGGTGGCCAGCCTGCACGGCAGGGCACAGAGCAGCACGCCCACAGGCGACGGCTGTAGACTTCAGCAAGCAAGTTTCAAACGATAGTTGTGGCAGACCAGTTTTTAAAAGCTAAGTTAAAACTTCCCTAGATAAAAGTAAGAGGCAAACCCGTTAGGGGAAGATGAGAACCTTAGCAGGAGTTAGTGAGATTCCACCCCAGCTACAAAAACAATGGCTTCTAGTGGCAAAGGTTCATTCGCTGGGCGTCTGTGAGGCCGCCGTCCCTCCGCCCCCCCAACCAGGCCGCCGACTTGTGCACCGTGCGCTGACTCCATTTCAGCCTGGCTCTTACACACCAGCAACTCATTTAAAACTGAATCCCGCCACCATTTCACTCACCTGGAAAGAAGCCACTTGGGCGGATGTACTATTCACAGAACTTCATTCATAAGGAGCAGACCGTGAGGTTACATTTAAACATTCTAAACACAGACAACACAGGCATGCGCGTTAAAGAACTAGCCAGTGACTTACAGATATTTTAAATTTTCCAAGTCTTCAAACGCCCCACTGGGTATCCTCTTGATCTGATTATTGTTCAGAAGCCTACAAAAGAAAATTCCAACAGAAGTTAACAGAGCAAAGAGACAAGGCCAAATCTACTTGCATCTGCTGAAGAAACACCTTGTGGTGCTGGGAAAGGACAGAGGCCCAGACCCAGCAAGATGGTAACGCCAACTCCAGGAGCCGCGTGGCTTCCACGGACACCACATCTTTCCCCTTCATATCCAGGGGAGAACTAAACCCTCTGCGAGACTAAAGGGTGGGCATCACTTCCTGCCACGCCCACTGACCACTTTGGCTGGTTGTGGCCAGTCGGAAGCCACCATGGCAGCACAGGTGTGTCCTGAGAGGCGTCCAGCCCTGCCCTCCCGGGGACTCAGAGGATCCTCTCTCCTCAGCCCAGCCAGGTGTCCGAGGCGGCTCTGTTGCCAGGTGGGCCCAACCAGCTCCCCAGGAGGTCCAAGACCTAGGGTGTAATTCAGAGGCTTGAAAACCTTGTCTCAACCAGATGGAGCTCAAGCTAAGCCTCAACATGGAAGAGGCCAAGGCAGGCAAGAAGCAACCCAGCCCTGCCAGCACAGGATGTATGAATGTGTTTACCTATGAGAGGCAGGGACTCCACACAGGAGTCAGACTCACCGCCGCCCCAGCTTCCAATATCACAGTCCATCTCCACCTTCCCCCCTCCCACCGAGGATAAGTGGGTAATGAGCAGAGCGCGGGTGCTATCTGCAGGTGATGCTCACTGTTCATTTATTTTCTGCCTAGGTCATCAGCCAAACGCTTCAACTTACAGTGTATTCAGCTTCTGCAGCTGCCGGAATGCCCCAGGTTGGATCTCTCTGATTCTGTTAAACCGAAGGTCCCTGTGAACAAATGGGGCATGGCTGGCACAGGAGAGAAGCTCAGGGCCGTGGCCGCGCCCGTCCTTCCCACACAGCCACTTTCCAAACGGATTAAATTGCTCAAGTTGCTCTTGGCCGTCTGAGCTTGTGGAGCCCAGTCAATGTTTGGGACAATGCCCACAGTAAGGGAATTTGTTTAGACAGCCAGGCTGGGAGATGAGATTGCATTAACTACCTACGCATGCCATCACTGGCAGCAATTCCAGGACAACTCACTTGGGTAATTCTGCACAAGGCAGCCCTGCTGTGCAACCAAGAGTGCAAAGCCTTTGCCGAGGCCAGGAATTCCATCAGCCAGGACTTGGCTGATCACCAGGTGGCTGCCCACGGCACTGTCTCCAGGAAGGCTGCCCCAAAGCACAAAGCCAACTCAGCATGTGCGTCAGGAGGAAGAGGCCGTCTAGTGCATGGCTTTGGCCTCATGTCCCCGACAGGTATGCTTACACATGCACGGCTAAAACGGTATTTGTTTTTTTCAGGAGCCAGGTGAGACCTCTTCCATCATCTTCTGAGCTCCTTCTCATCTATCTTCCCAAGGATCATTTAGTAACTGTCGGTGGCTCCCAGCACCGGGCCTAGCTAGCTTTTGGTTCAGCACAACCTATTTCAAAACACTTTTGTTTAACACTGGAAAATCAACTGTTTGGCTTTAGAGGCAGCAAATGAAACTGGTCCTTTCTGGCCCAAGTTCTGTGTTTGGGGTCAGGGTCTCCAGGGAAGGAAAGAGGAAGGCCAAGGGCCTTTCCTCCCCACCCCCCACAGCTCCACCTCGGTCCGACGTCCATACTAGCCTTGGCCTGGATGTGCCACTGCAGCCCCGACAGTCACACAAGTGGAGCTTTGATTTACATCCACATCCAGAGCGCCACAGAGTCCACATGGAGACAGGCTGAGCATCCCAGTCACGGAAGGGAGGTGCCAGCCGTGGGAGAGGACATAAAGGAGTCCAAGTCCACCGCGAGGCCGGCAGCCCGCAGGCCAAGGCCCAGAAGGCCAGGAGGGAGGTCTTCAACTAGGCAGGGAGCGCTGACCGCTGCCACCAGGCCACCACACAAGGAAGGGAACAAGCAGACAGCACCACATGCCACAGAGTGACACCACTGCCAGACACCACTCCACACGAACTCCAAAGCACAGAATAGCATTCTCCTTTCGGCTTTTTTGGGCTACTTAAAAATGTGAAATGTTGGGGCTGGGAAGGTGGCTCAGGGGTACAGCGCTTGCCTTGCATGCTTGAGGCCCTGGGTTCGATTCCTCAGCACCACATACGCAGAAAAAAAAGCCGGAAGTGGTGCTGTGGCTCAAGTGGTAGAGTGCTCACCTTGAGCTGAAGAGCTGAGGGACAGCGCCCAGCCTGGAGCTGAAGAGCTGAGGGACAGAGCCCAGGCCCAGAGTTCAGGCCCACAACCGGACCCCTCTCCCCCCAAAAAAAATGTGAAATGTAAGTCAGGCGCCGGTGGCTCACACCTGTCATCCTCGCTACTCAGGAGGCTGAGACCTGAGGATCGCAGTTTGAAACCAGCTGGGACGGAGCCAGAGGCCCTCCGACCCCGCAGATCTGGCTCACTGTTCTCAAGGACAATCCAGCCCTGCTTTTATTGTGGGAGCAGAGTGTTTTAGACCTCGTGCAAACGCAACAATCCATGCAAAGCACCCCCTGTGCTTTGTGAATAAACAACAATAAGCTGTTTCATGCACACTGTTTCCCTGGAAACAAAACCCAAAACTGCTTCCACAGATGTTGAAAACTACCATCACTTTGTCCAGACAAACACTGGCCAGACCGCGTACCACCTAGCTTCTTCTGCCCCAGGAAGCTCCCCCCCCACCCCCATGTGCCATGCCCAAGCATGCCAGCAGTCACATGACCAGAGGGGCCAGAGTCCCATGCGCCTCTTCTAAGCAAACAGGGAGCCCCCAAAATCCAACCGCACAGATGAGCATGAAATCCACCATTCCCCAACAAGTGTGTCAGAGAACACATGAGTGGAGCATTTCCTCCTCATCAGAGACCACCAAGAAAGCCCCGGGCCGCTTCCCAGCAGGGCCAGGCCATCCCAGGAGATGGGAAATGGGGCTCTTGCGTGTGCTAAAAGGGTTGTGTAAGTCTTCCTGTTATGGGAAACAAGATGCAGGTGCAGAGTGCGACCATCCTCCTAACTGAGGAAGCAGACGCGGGCAGGGCCCCATGGCTTCCGCTCACCTCCCAGGCCAAGGCCACGCCGCCCGCCTCGATCCCAGAGATACAAGTTCTCGCGGAGGCAGGATTCCCAGAGATACAAGTTCTCGGGGAGGCAGGATTCCGGCTCCAGTCTGGCAGCCGGACAGGACACAGGGCACAGGGGAGAGAGAGCCGAGTGCCAGCCAGGCGCTGCCACAGTGGCTCCTCTGCACCCCGCACCCACACCCCTCACCCCTCACCCCCGCCATCCCTCACCCCGCGCCCCTCACCCGCACCCCTCACCCCCGTCATCCCTCACCCCGCGCCCCTCACCCGCACCCCTCACCCCTCACCCCCGTCATCCCTCACCCCGTGCCCCTCACCCGCACCCTTCACCCCTCACCCGCACCCCTCACCCCCATCATCCTGAACCCGGACCCCTCACCCCTCAGCCCCGTCATCCCGCACCCTGTACCCCTCACCCCGCGCCTCTCACCCCTGTCATCCCTCACCCCTCACCCCGCGCCCCTCACCCGCACCCCTCACCCCCGTCATCCCGCACCCCACACCCTGTACTCCTCACCCCTCACCCCGCACCCCAGGCTGCGGCTAAAAGGCCCCCACTCGAGGCCGGGTATTTCCTCGTGCAAACAGGCAAACAACACAGTGCACTGCACACAAGACGTCTTTCCTTCCCGACGGTGGCCCTCACTCCTTGCTACAGCGCGGGGCAGGCTCCTCTTCTCCAGTCCGGCGGCCACAGGCACCGGGCCAGGGAAGTGCCAGGAAGGCCCGCCGCGCCCCTCTGCCACTGGGCTGGCTTCGGACGGCACCCTGGGCACCGGGCCTCGGTGACTTGTGTGTACGCAAGTGACAAGATTGGTGCCTGGGGGGCCTCCAGGCCGAGTCCCCCCAAGTCTCCAGGATTCTTCAGGCCCATGCGGGGCAGCACCCAAAGTCACCCCTAGAATTAACCCCAACTGTGCCTCGGTTCAGACGTGTGCACTGCTTGTATAAGCCCTTGCGTTAAGCTGCTTACATTTAAATTCTGAACTTAAAGCCCAGAACAGGAGGCTTGTGACTCACCCCCCCCCCCACTGAAGAGGCTCCAGGAGGGGGGCTCGGTGTGCACGCTCCTCCCTGACAACAGCGACACCCCACAGGCTGGCACATTCCGAGCTGTCTGTCTGCGGCCCAGGCTCTTTGTCTCTTTTGGAGCCCCTGCCCCGGCCGAGGACTGCGGCCTCAGCACCTTTTCCCGCTGGGTGATCACAGGCCGGGGTCAGAGCTCCGCAGAGAACAAAGCTCGCCCGCACAGGCCTCTGCCCAGCGCCAGCTGACAGACAGCCATCACCCGCGGCAGCCGACCGTCACTAGTGCACGACCAGGCCACCCAACGCTTGTGGTGGAAGACTGTGTCCAGCAGGACAGGGTCCCCGGGCGGCTGGCCGAGGGGACCGCTCTACCATCATGGCCTCCTGCATGGACCCGACGCCTCCTCCACACCTGGACCTGTGGAATGCTCACCACCGCGCCACACTGGCCGCCCTGCTAACCGTTTACCCAACCCGCCACACGAACGCACACTAGTGACTCCTCAGGCCTGAGTAGTCCCACATCTGTGCTGAAGGAACCCAGGCCCCATGTGAACACAAGACCCGCATCGGTGCCGAACACAGGGCCCCAGTGAACACAGGGCCCACATCAGTGCTGACCCCCCCCCCATCCCGGCCTGCGGCAACCCCCAGGAAGAGCAGCACGGGTGCCTCGCGCTCTGCAGGCCCTCGCTGGACGTTCAGCCCAGCTCAGGTCTCGGCCCTCACTGCCACCAGGACTGCAGCCCGGAGGGGGAGTTCTAGAATGTGACCCAGGCTGCTTGTGAGTGGCTGGCGGTGCTGCCAGAGAAGCAGGGCACAGGGCACGCTGCCGGAGGACCGGGGCTGCTCCACGCTGAGTAGCCTGGAGGAGGAGCCTGAAGGCACTGCACAGAGCCCCCAGTGTGACTGCACCACACTGCCCTCCGTGAGACTCCAGCACACTCCAACCTGCCCCACTCCACGACCTGCTTCCCAGCACATGCAGGGAAGGGCCCTGCCGGCCCCTCCCAGCCCACAGCCCTCCCCGATTGGCTTCCACACCTGGCCAACACCGCAGCCTACCTGCTCCTCGGTGCGGGGGCGGCTCACGGCATGTTTCGCTGGGTTTTGGCAGTCGTGGGTATGGACTCCGGGCCTCGCGCGTGCTAGGCCCATCGCCTCCCACTCTGGTGTCTCATGAACGAGTCTCACGGGCCTGCCCAGGCTGCCTCCACCCGTCAGTCACGCTGCCCGGCCCAGCAACGATGCCCCTCACTGTGTACCCGTAAGTATCTGTCGTCCTGGTAACAATATGTGTCCTTCCTTCCCTTCTTCTTCCCTTCCTTCTTGTTTTCTTCCTTCCACCCTGCACCTCCACCTTCTTCCTCCCCGGGTCCCTCCGTGGGTCTCTGTTCTGTGTCTGGGGACCACTGCACCAGTGCTTTACAGATCAGGGCCGTGGTCAGGCAGGACCAGGGTGGTCGGCAAGAGGCACCAGAGGAACAGGAAGTGCATGTATACAGGCAGGAGGCAGGAGGGAAAGGGGGCAGGAGAAACATCAGAGAGGCAAGAAATACAACAGAGACACAAAGCAAGAATTAGCTGAACATGGTGGCTCATACCAACAGTCCAGGGTCCTGAGAAGACAGAACAGAAGACTGAGAACACAATTGGCCTGAACAGAGGAATCTACAGGACACTATCTCCAAAACAACTAGCAAAAT